ATCTACAATAATGCGTTATTAACAGCTAAAGGCTTAACTAATCACCTACATGACAGATAGAAGAAGGCATGAGAGTGGATGAGATCATTAAGGAAGATTTAACAACAGGTCTGTGTAGAAACATGGGGCACGGCTACGCTTAGGAAGCAGGTGGAGGAAAAGGCACCACAGCTGGAAAGCTATTAATAGGACAATGTCAGTGACAGATATATATATATTTTTTAAGTTATGGAATCTAAGGTAAAAATGGTTTTAGTTTTTATTTAAAATTTTATTTTTTAAAGTATAGTTGGAATACAATATTGTATTAGGTTCAGGCACACAATACAATTTCACATGGAAGCACCTGATGACGTGATCCCCATGCTAAGGCTGGCAGCCATCTGTCACTGTGCAGTTATTATATTATCGACATATTCCCTGTGCTGTACACTACATCCCTGTGGCTTATTTATCTTATAACGGGAAGTTTGTACCTCTTATTCACCCTCACCTCTTCCGTCCGTCCATCCTTCCACCCCTTCCCCTCGGCGACCATCAGTTGTTTTTGTTCCTTCATCTGTGGGCCTATTATTGTTGTTGTTGGATTCCTCATATAAGTAAAATCATATGGTGTTTCTCTTTTTTCAATTAGCATAATACCTTCTAGGTATATCCATGTTGTTCCAAATGACAAGGTTTTTACTTTTTTTAAATGGCTGAGAAATACTCCATTTCCATGTACTTATATATACATTTCCACATACATACATCTTTTTCCATTCATCTATCACTGGGCACCTAGGTTGCTTCTATTTCTTGATTACTTAAAAATATGTTGCAATGAACATGGGGAGGGGCTGAAAGTGTATTTATGATGTAGTGTTTTTGTTTTCCTTAGATAAATACCAGAAGTGGAATTACTGAGCCATACGGCAGTCAAATTTTTAAATTTTTGAGGAATGTCCATACTGTTTTCTACATGGCTACACCAATTGACAAGCCCACCAGCAATGTGTGAGGGTCCTCTTTCTCCATATCCTTGCCAACACTTATTTGTTGACTTTTTGATGATAGCCATTCTGACAATTGTATGGTGGTATCTCATCGTGGTTTTGATTTGCTTTTTCATGATGATGAATGAATGATGTTGAGCATCTTTTCATATACTCAATATGCTTTTCACTATATTGCTGACTGTCTGTATGCCTTTTTTGGTGAAATATTTATTCAGGTCCTCTGCCCATAATTAACTGGGTTGTTTTTTTAAATATTGGGCTGCAAGAAATCCTTACATATTTTGGGATATTAACCCCTTACTGGATCTGTCATTTGTGAATATCTTCTTCCATTTAGTGTTGCTTTTTAATTTTGTTGATGGTTTCCTTTGCTGTGCAGAAAATTTTGACTTGATGCAGTCCCATTTGTTTATTTTTTTCTTTTGTTCTCCTTGCCTGAGGAGACATACCCTGCAAAACACTGCTGAAACTGATGTCAGTTTTCTATCTATGTTTTCTTCTACAAGTTTTATGGATTTAGTTTTGACACTCAAGTCTTCAATCCATTTTGAATTTACTTTTGTGTATGGTGTAAGAAAGTGTTCCAATTTTCCCAGCACCACTTATTGAATATTCTTATGTTCTTTGTCATAGATTAGTTGTCCGTGTGAGAGTTTATTTCTGGGATCTCTATTTTGTTTCACTGATCTGTTTCTGTTTATATGGCAATATCATACTGTTTTGATTATTATAGCTTTGTAGTATAGTTTGAAATCAGGGAGTGTGATACCTCCAACTTTGTTCTTCTATCTCAGGATTGCTTTGGCTATTCAGGGTATGTTGTGATTCCATATAAATTTTAGTATTATTTGAGTTCTGAGAATGCCATGAGTATTTTGATAGGGTCTACATTGAATTTGCAGTGCTTTTGGGTAGTATGGACATTTTAATGGTATTAATCATCCCAACCCATGAGCATGGAATATCATTCCATTTATTCATGCCCTCTACAATTTTTTTCTTCAGGATCTTGTAATTTTCAGAATACAGGTCTTTCAACTCCTTGGTTAAATTGATTCCCAGGTATTTTATTCTTATCGATGCACTTGTAAATGGGACTGTTTTCTTAATTTCTCCTTCTGATCGTTTGTTATTAGTATATAGGAACTTAAAAAGATTTCTGTATTAATTTTGTATCCTGCACTTCACCGAATTCATGCTAGTTCTAATAGGTTTCTTTTTGGGTAGAGTTTTTAGGGTTTTCAATGTATTGCATCATGCCAGCTGCAAATAGCAAGTTTTACTTCTTCCATTTGTATTGTTTTGTTTTGTTTTGTTTTTTTTTGTCTGACTGCTGTAGCTGGGACTTCCAATAGTATGTTGAATAAAAGTGGTGAGAGTTGGCATCACTGTCTTGTTCCAAATTAGAGGAGTTTTCAGCTTTTCGCATTTGCATGATAGTAACTGTGGTTTGTCATGTATGCTCTTTATTATGTTATGTTCCTTTTATACCTATTTTCTTGAAAATTTTTATCATAAATGGACATTGAATTTGTCAATGTATCCTGTTGACTGATTCACAGATACTGAATCATCCTTCCAACCGTGGACTAAATCCCACTTGATCTTGGTGTATAATTCTTTTAATGTATTGTTGAATCTGGCTTGCTAAAACTATGAGAATTTTTGTGTCTATGTTCATCAGGGATATTGGCCTATAATTTGTTTTACAATGCCTTTGTCCGGGTTTGGTATCAGGATAACTACTGGCTTGGTAGAGTGAGTTTGCAAGCTTTCCTCCCTCTTCATTCTTTTTAGGAATGGCTTGAGATGGCTAGGTATTAATTCTTCTTTAAATGGTTGGTAGAGTTCACCTATGAAGCTGTCTGGCCCTGGACTTTTGTTGGGAGTTTATTTTTATTATTGCTTCAATTTTATTGTCATTACCAGTCTATTTAGATTTTGTTTCTTTGTGGTTCAGTCTTTATAAAGTTTTTTAAAAAGATCTTATTTATTTTTAGAGAGATGGCGAGAAAGGAAGAGAAACATCAGTGTGTGGTTGCCTCTCATGTGCCCCCCACTGGGGACCTGGCCCACAACACAGGCATGTGCCCTGACTGGGAATCAAATCGGCAACCCTTTGGTTCACAGGCTGGTACTCAATCCACTAAGCAAAGCCAGCCAGGGCTATTTATTTTTAGAGAGGGAAGGGAGGGTGAAATAGAGGGAGAAAAAAACAGACTGGTTGCCTCTTGCATGCCCCAAACTGAGGACTTGGCCTGCAACCCAGGCATGTGCCCTGACTGGGAATGGAACCTGTGACCCTTCGGTTCCTAGGCTGACACTCAGTCCACTGAGCCACACCAGCCAGGGCTGTCTTTAAGGTTTTTGTTTCTAAAAATTTACCCACTTCTAGGTTGTCCAGTTTGTTGGCATTAACTGTAGCATTCTTTAATATTCCTTGTACCTCTGTGGTGTCAGTTGTAACTTCGCTTTCATTTCTGATATTTGGGCTCTTTTTTAATTGAAGAATATGGTTAAAGGTTTGTCTATTTTGTTTATCTTTTCCAAGAACTGGTTCTTAGTTTCACTGATCCTTTCTATTCTTACTGGTCTGTTTCATTTATTCCCATTCTGATCTTTATTATTTTGTTCCTTCCGTTACTTTGGGTTTTGTTTGTTCTTTTTCTGTTTTCTTTAGGTGTAAAGTTAGATAATTTGGGACTTTTGTTGTTTCTTGAGGAAGGCCTGTATCGGCATGAACTTCCCTCTAAACACTGCTTTTGTTACATTCCATACATTTTGGGAAACTCTTTTCATTTTCACTTGTCTCAAGGTACTTCTTTATCTCCTCTAGGTCCGTTTATTTAGTAGCATGTTTAATCTCCACAGGTTCATGTTTTTCCCCCTCCAATTTCCTTCTTACACTTGCTTTCTTGTTTCATACCATTGTGATCAGAAAACATACTTTATGATTTCAGTCTTCTTGAATTTACTGAGACTTGTTTTGTGCCTAACATATATGCTCTGTAATGGAGAATGTCCCATGCACACTTGAGGAAGTGTTTTTTATTCCCCCCTGCAGATTTTGGGTGAAATGTTCTGTAAAAATCTAGTCTAATGTGGCATTTAAGGCCATTGTTTCCTCATTGGGGTGCTTTTATTGGAGGGGGGCATCTGGATGATCTCTCAGTGATATAAGTGGGATATTAAAGTCTACTACTATTCTATTTCTGTCAATTTCTCCCTTTATGCTATTTATATTTGCTTTATACTCAGGTACTTCTATGTTGGGTGTGTAGATATTTAGTTGTTATATCCTTTTGGACTGACTCCTTTATCATTACGTAATGCTCTTCTTCATCTTAGTCTGTTTTGAATGAGGTTAGAGGAAGTTCAAATAAAGAGAGATTAAGGTGTCTGAGGGCTGGAAAGAAATGAAGTCAGATTTGGTGAAATGACATCTGGCACAGACCAACAAAGAAACTCTTTCATTAAGAGACGAGACAGAACTCCTGTTCGAAGGGGAAATAACAGGGGAAAAAATTCCAGAATCAACTGAACCGATTTTGAATTTGCTCTTAAGGTGTTCTATGTAATATTCTACGTGGTAGACAATGAGATAGATGTCACCAATTTTCAGAACAAAGCTGCAAGGTCAATGTTTTCTTCATTTTATAGCTGAGCATTTGTAAGCCAAAATATGACAACACTTACTAACTAGTTTGGACAAGTTATGTAAACAGTCTAAGGCAGTTTTATTAGAGGAAAATGCTACCTACCTCATCACTGTTCCAAGTATTTAATTCCTGTAAATATATACACATACACAGTGTATAAACATATAGAATAACACTTAGAAACTATGCATATTTCTGGTACAGTAATGTGAGAAAATTAACAGTGGCTAAGGTATGGTCATGTTGCTATAACTGAATTTAATTGCAGGCTTCCTTTTATGTGTACACAGCTTTATTTTAAGCAATCATCTTTGACATGCAGGCTTCTTCTTTTCCTTTGTAGGTATTGGATGTAAGTAGAGAAGGCAAAGAAGAAGTATTCTACGGGCCTACTCTGCCTTTCGCTTCCAATGGAATAGCAGCATGCTTCCTCCCAGCTCCATATTTCACATGCCCTAATCTTCAAACTCTTCAAGTGCCTCATCACAGGATTGGCACCATCTGAAAAGCCAATGCTTAGTTAAAACCCATTATGAATAGGAGGGAAAAAAAAAGCCTGACTGTTGGATACTGGGCATGAAAAGACTCAGTGCTCAGTGCTTCCTTGTTTTGTTTTATAGGTCTTATGTTCAGATAAACATTAGCAAAAAAAAAACCAAACCAACCAACAATTTTCTAAAATACATAACCGATAACTCCTATCACCCTTTGCAGTATGTGACATATTAATACAATAGCATATGTATGACTTTTATTGTGGTGTGGCTTAGTGTCAACTTAATGGTCCATTACTGTTCTGTGGGTCCTCAAAGCATTTTTCCTACATTTTTTCTGATCAGTGCTGTCTAGGACAACACGACAGCATTAGTCAGTTTATTTCCAAGTAATGTCATCACTAATCTTTAGAAAAACTTCAGTACTCAATCTCTTTACTATTTAAACCTGGATTTGTACACATTATACAGACCCATTCAGAAGAGACTCAGCATTATGACATCATAAATTTTTAAATGCTATATTTTATTTAAGGTAATACGAATACTAGAAGAACATTGGAACAGCAGTTGGAATATCCAGAGTTTTCACCTTGGTTATTACTGTGACCTTGGACCAGGGGCTTAACTTTACAGTGCTTCACTTTTCCCATTTTTTTAAGGAGGATAATTATTGACTCCTATTTTAATTCAGAAGAATGCTGTGAGGATTAGACAAATGCTCTGAAGGACTTCACCTAAGGAAAAAAAAAAGTTACTCAAATCCCAATGTATTTTACTGTCTTTAGAATCTTCTAACTGAATAGGGAGATTATTTTTGAGGTTTAAAAACTACTAGATAGAACTTCAAATACATGCTATGGGATAAATGAGTCTAAAAAGCATGTGTAAGAGATAATGCTAATTTGGAAAAAGGGACTTCATAAAAGCCAAAGATTCCTAACACTGTACAAATCCTTGCCTCAAATAATAACTCTCTTCAAACATCTCCTTTAAATTCATTTAGTAAAAAATGACATTTTATACTAGAAAAATTAGTTGTACTAATTTTGGTACCATAAAGTGCTTTGACATAAATTTGAACCTAGAATCAGTAGTTCTAATAAAAGTTTTTCCCCTTTGTTAAAGGTTATGTCAATCTTGAGTCCTTGCGGGATTCTTCTCCACCACCAATACATATTTTATTACAACCACATTTAATAATGCATAAGGATTATTTTTAGGCTAGGTTTTTGGATTTGCCTTGTCCATAACAAAAAACAACAACTCAATGATCAATTTGAACATTCAGCCAACAACTATAATGTGTGTTTTCCCCTTTTCTTAATCTTGTTGGGATCTAAGTCACCTTTATTAAAAGACTTTACTGTTTTCCTTGGCATAGTTTAATCATTCAGTAATCATTGATTTATAGGAAATTCTAATTTTATCCATGTAAACACTTTAATCAAGTGAAAAAAATTTTATTCTAAATACAGAATTCATTAATTTTATGTAAGATACCTAAACTATTAATTTTTAAATGTATACATATAGTTTTGATTATCCAGACTAAAGGGTGGGAGAGGAGAGACCAGGAATGAGGAAAAAAAGTAAATTAAAAAAAATACTTAGTTTAGACAAACAAAAAACCTTAAGGGTATTTTTACAGTTCTGAAAATGACATCGATAATTGCTATTTAGAAGGATGTCAAAAAAATCTCTTCAAAAAGTATAAATCATCGAAATTAAATTTAAAAAGCCTTACCAAGTTAGGAAAATGGACTCCAGCATTTCAGAAATCTTTTCAACCAGAACCTATGCAAGAAATATTTCAGATTCATTCATTCTTCTGCTTGACAAATTTTCCCTGTAGTAGTTTTACCTTATAAAACCATTAATATCTACTTGTAACCCCAGAACCTATATGCAATGAATGAAAAGGAAATGGTCTAAAAATAAGTTTGCTTGATGATAACTTGCAGCCTACAAGTACTCTTGATTATTTCTGTGTAGGTTTCCAAGTATTCATTTAAAACAAATTATTATATACTATCAAACCTCTTCTTGGTAAACACAGTATTCACTAATATTACGGAACTGAACTTAGAATTTTTAAAAATTTTACTTAATTTTCAGAAACATACTTTATAGTTATAGCCAAAGAACAGCATCCAAATTATAACATCTCTCCCCTAAAAAAGAAAAAAACCTCATAGATCACTTATTCACTTATAATTAGATCCTTTTCCTCAAATTATCAATAATATAAGAAAGCTAATAAAAAATTGGTCATATAAACTCAAATCCATTGGAACTATTCAAATATGTATTTTCAAGTGTAATACTTCTATTTTTAAAATTAAAGAAGACACTAAAAATAGAAGTGTCTTCTATTTTTAAAATTAAGGCCCATTTTGTATTTGTATGTAAATTTTTAATTTTAATTTCCATAGGAAAATCATGAAACTTCCAACCATTTAAACATTTAAAAAAGAAAAAGCAGGAGGAAAAGCTAGCGAAGACACGAATCTCTAAAATACTTTGTATGTAAAATGGAATAAAACTCCTTAGTTCCTTATTAACATAATGCCAGCTAGGTTAGGGGTATTTCTCATACATTTTTCTCTTCATGTTTTCTCACAGTTTAACCAAATGTGTATTGTATCCCCTTCAGATACTGCAATAGCTGAAACACTGGGGTTTTACTACAGAGTATAAAAGCAATAGTAATAAGATAGAAATTACTTCTCCTGCTACCTTGGCTCATTTTATTTTGGTTTTCAAATAGTCAATCTCATAAAAAGGGACGCTGAATAATCACGGGCGCAGTGTAAGTTAAATACATATATTTTTATTATATATCCTTATTATATGCACAAAATAACATAAACATGTGTATAAAATAAGAATGCCCAGAATTTTCCTAAGAGTACAATTTATCAATGCAATAAATCAAATAACTATTAGCACACCAAAAACTTTAATAAGTAGAAACTGGTCAATTCCAATTATATGGTACTGATTATGGTAACCTTACCAATATAGTTTATCACATAATCAAAATACAAGTGTCATCTTATTAAATATGTAAAAGAATATGCTACTTTGCTAGCTTTCGAATCCAACTGTTTTAGCCTAACAAAGCAGGTTATTTATATTAGCATAGTATTTGAGGGGGGACCAAAAAAAAAGCCGGAATTTATTTATAAAATATTGTGTATTTATTCTTACTTGTTTAAACTTCAGTCATCTTCAAAGTACTTTCTATTTGATGCAAGACACCTATATCAAGACATTTTTCCTGCTGCTCAAAACAGTTTTTGAGCTCGTTGATTTTGACACCTGTTAGTGCTTCTGCCATTTTTTGTTCTACCCCTTCCACATCAGCAAAATGTTTCCCTTTGAGGCCTTTTTTTCATAGGGAGAAACAAAATAAGTCATTTGGCACAAGATCGGGTAAACAGGAAGGGTGGGGCACAGGGGTCATGCCGTTTTTGGTCAAAAACTGCTGAACACTCAGTGGGGTGGGGGCCGGTGCACTTGTAACTCACCCATCATGAAATGGCAAACGCGTTGAGTCTTCAAAAAAAAAAAATTCATTGAAGCCAAACACAGCCTCTCACAACAGTGCCAGCTGGTATACTGATACATAGGGTTCCTACAACACTCAAGTAGGGGAAGCATATACTAGCAGGGGCCTCCCTCCAGAAGATAATTCCGTTTTTTTCTGGATCCCCCCGCCTTCCTTGTACATTTGGCTGACAAAGCAATATTTTTAACCCTTGGAGGAATAGTCAGGAGATCAGTTTTTGGAAAATAAAAGGTTTATGTAAAAAGTCTACCAATCTAAAAGCAGTGGTTTAGTAATGATAATACAGCTTTTAGTGAGATTTCCATCATATCTACCTTTTATCTTTGAAACAAAAGCACCAAGTTAACATGTATATTTAGGGAAGGTAGGTTTCATACAGGCTTTTCCCAACTGCAAATTTTTTGTATCACATGTAATCTTAACAAACGGGACATAAAAGTAAAAACTGTCAAAGTCTGTAAAATACATGAAAACAAATCCATGTATGATAATTCTTTAAGAATAAAGTGACTTTAAAATTTTGTGATAAAGCATGAGAGAAGATAATAACAATGATGAACATATGCACATAGTCTAACAACCCACAACTAATTATTTTTTTACAAAGATGCCCAGGCAGAAAAAGTTACACTTAGAAGAATAGAAAATATGCTAGGAATAGGTAAAGATATAAAAGTTTTAAATTATGAAACTGTTCTAATGCAAATGAACTCAATACTAAATGTTTTTTGTACAGAGACAATTCTCTATGTTTTTTGTTTTTCTCCCTCATGGAAACCTAATTTAATGTTCAATTAAAATTTAAATCATAACCAAATCTGAATGTCCAGTAAAGTCACTTCATCACCCTGTTGTCCTTCAATTATCTCTTTTACACTCCATCTGAGAGTTTACTGAAATTACCAATATTTGACTGGCATACTCTCAGGGTATAAAATGAACATGGCATTCTGACAGTCTAAGCCAATCTAGTCCAGCCTGAGGTAAGTTTGGACAGAAAGGGTAGTCACATGGCAGAAAGTCACCTGACTGAAAGTTTCACTGTCAGCTTATTAACAGTAGGAAGTAATTTGAAGGCCCTGAGCAGAAAAGTAACAGGAGAAAAGTAGCATTTTAGGAACAAATGTTAGAGCTGTGAGAAGGTTAATTGAAGGAAAGGAGACCAGAGATAAGGGATTATAGTGCTCAACAGAAAAAAAGTTTAGAAGCAAAAAATAGCAAAGAGCCTGTACTGCTGATCAATGGAAAGTAGGGAATGGCAGAGAATCCCAGATGACTCTGGAGTTTCACAGTTAAGTAACTTGGGAAGACAGTGTATTCCCTTGGTAGAAAATAGACAAGAGGTAGACTATAATAGAAGGTACTGACAAGGGCAGCCCGACCTGTTGCCTTGAGATATCAGGAGGATCAAATTAGAGAGGTTTAGAGGGAAATTAGCCCTAGAAAGAGGTCTGAGAAAATTATGAGCTAGTGTTATCCATTGACTACTAGGAGAATACTGAGAGCAGGTGAAGGACCAGATCTTGATGCTGGGGACAAGAAAGAACATGAAGGTGCTCTCAAAGTGCAGTATGTGTAGGAAGGAGCAGTTATCACTGAGCAGGGGATGAGGAAATAATGGAAAATGCAGCTGCCACTGAGGCCAAAGAATGAGAGAAATGAGAACATATTCTCCAAATTCACTAAAAAAAGAGTGACTTCCAAAACAGAAGGAGAAGTAGCAGCCTCAGAGATCATGGTATTTAGGAAAAGCGGAGATTAGGGAAGCAGGTATCAGGTACTCTAAGTCTGGGAATGGAAAAAGACAAGACTAGAGTAATTAAATGAAGAGCCAATGAAGGTTTTCAAGAAAAGGAACTCAGTCATAAATTTTTTCTTCAGTTAAAACAGCTGCTTTAAAGTTTTCCTTATAAATAAAAAAAATACATATACCTGTGTTGTTAGGCTTTTCGTTGCAACTTTTTTTTTTAAGTATGAACACTAGTTATTAGCACATACAGTTATATGTTCTAATGCGTGATTCAGCAGCAGCTTTATTTTATCCCTTAAAAGCTTTACATGCTGTGGAACAAGATTCTCAGGTATCTTTATCTATCTCAGAAAACTGAAAAATATATAAACTATTCATGATAAATCCCTTTAAAAGCATCACCTTAGATAAAATAGTTTAATCAGTCACTATCATAATGACAAATTCATTGCTATAAAGTCTATTAAGTAACTGAAAAGAGACTTCCATTTCACTGAAGAACAGTTAATTTTGGGGGAAAAGAGACCACTTATATGTTGTGAAAACAACAGATAATTCTTTAGATTTCAGATTAAAATTAGGAGAGGTCTATTACCTATGTTTTTCTGATTGCAATACATTTCATTTTTAAAGACACTTTGGGGGCCAGGAAGGGGTTGAAATGTTTTCTTGCAGGAATAGAACCATGATAAAGACCAGAGCCCCAAGAAGAAAGCAATAAATTATTTGAAAGATGGCAAACACGATGCATAAGAAAACATTGAAAAAAGAAAAGTAGGGTCATTCATCTAGGACGTATTGAAGAAAGAAGAACAAAATTGAGGTGTTTTTTACTTTGTGCACGAGTATCCTGCCTGTACATATCTAAACAGAATATAGGTCACTGAATATTTTCACATACATTATCCTACTGATTCTTATCAGAACACTGTAAAATAGAAAAAGAATTATTCTTTTTTTCTCCACGAAGAAACTGAGGTTCAGTCAGGTTAAGTAATTTGCTGAAAGTCACAAAGCAGAGCTAGGCTCGAGACCCAGGGGGGTTCCAAGCCAAGGGCCAGAGCCCCATTCACTGAATAACGCGCTCCACAGAGGAGGCCGGAGGCCGGCGGTCGCTGCATCTGGAGGACACTGTCGGAGAGTCAAGAGACAACAGCTGCTTAAAGGAACTAAATTGGGTCCCTGTAAACTTATAAGATGCAGAGTTATAAGACACTCTAATTAAAGAGCAAGGAGATAAATCAGCTGACTTCTCAGACTACTTTTCTTTTTGGTAATATCCAGATTTTCCAGAGTGTTATTTACCCCCTTCTTATAGACTCTTGTTTATCCTCCTCCTGCTATGCCTGCTAATGGCAGCTCCAAAAGAAAGAATGGAGACAAACATCTGGCAACGGCTGGAACCTCAACAAACACTGTTGGCTGAAATGTAAAAAAAATATACAATTTTTTACATATGTATAATATATATGTAAAAATATATATATATTACCTAAAAATATATGTAATATATATATATTTTTACATATATATAATCTGCATAGTCATGTAGGCAGATTCGGTCTCATTTCTTAGAGAGGTAAGCAGTCTTGGTAAAGGTTTTATTTATTCACTTGCCTCATACATGTTATAAAAAACAGTAACAGTCCTATCTCCTAACCCCTTCCTCCCACTCAAAAAGACTTAAGAAAGTATCTTATTAAAACATAACTTGTAAAAAAAAAAAACACAACAAACACAAACAAATCACAAGACACAAGTCATTACAGTAAAAAGTCCATGGATCAACAAGCACAAATTTGCTTAGTAATTGTACACAAATGACACTCTCAGAGAGAAAAAGTACCTTTAATTTAGTTGAACTAAAATCTCTTCAAATAGAATGTGGTTTTACCAAGTTCCAAAGATCCTATAACATAGTTAAGTAACTTTTATTTACTTATTTATATACTTAGTATACTTACAGGTATGTAAAGAAAAAAATCCTAGAAAATAAATTTACCAGAACAGTACACAATTAATTAAAAGGACTGAGAATGATACGAAGTGGCTTTAGATATTATAATAGAAAAGATGAATCACAAAACATATCAGGTGTTATCATTTTCCAGTCTCTTCATCTCATCTTGTCCCACTTGTCCCAGGTGAGATAAAAGTTTGCTATAGGCTTTCCTGTTTAAGAAAAAAAGAAAAGGAAGCCGACATATTTATTACCTTTTCCATTATTTTTCATTTACATATTCACAAATTGAACCTGCTTGAATGTCTGTCCATGCACTCACACAATGTGACTGAAGTACCTTGAGTCTTTAACAAACTTTGGGACACATGAATCTAGTGAGTGCTGACCCCTTTAAAACAATCTCTAGGAACGACAGGCTTATCTCCACAATGTTGCATTACCTTGAATAGTTCAAGTACTATCCTCGGCTGGGTTGTAAACCTATTAAAAAAAGCCTGTTTATCTTTTCTCAAAAACCTGATTATCTAATTGGGTCACTCAGCCTATTAACTGGATACACATGATTTAGTTGATTTAGTAAATCAAGCATCCTTCCAAGGACTGATTTGCCACCATAAATTTCATACAGAAACAAGACACACAAGGCTCTAAAGTCCACTTCCCAATGAGGAACACGATGTGTTTTGAACAATAAGCAGCACTGCTGAATATGGAACTTTCTAAGGTGGTTACTTTAGAAAGAACCACGTGTGAACAACATGTCAATCACTGTAACACAGTTCAACTCAATACACACCAAATTTCTGGGAAGGAAAATACGAGCCATTTGTGGAAAATGAATCCAGATTTTTAATTATGCCCAAAAAGGATGTAATCAAATTATCAAACATACCTATGAGCGATATTTCTGCCAAGGCCCCATTTCTGCTCTGAGTCTTTCAGAGACTGAGTGAGGGTAGGAATCAAGTGAATGACAACCTGCTGGTCCACTGCTGCTACTGATTCTAAAATGCTGTAAGTCTGATTAGCGTACATCATACCATAGTCCTGGATACAATCCCTGAAAGTAAATCAAGTTACAGAGAATTACCTCAGGGGCAATTCCTTGGGCTGGTGTCTATACGGCAATTAGCTATCAACTGAACACAAGAAAAATCTGTGTGTGTAAGATTACCTTAAGACTCTAGAATTAAGAATAAGAAGGCTGTAACACTTAAAAATGAAAAACAGAAATGGCTTATTTCAGTGTAAGCTATGAAGAAAGTGGTGGCATTGAAAGGAAGAGGGAAGAGTTGGAATCCCTGGAGGGTGAATGAGGGGAAAACGCGAAGCCCGGGGACTTTTCTGCTGTAGCCTGTGCGTTGGATTCTGGGCGGTAAGGATGTGGAAGAGACAAAGAAAACAGCCTGGCCTCCTGGATTTTTTTTTAGTACTTCGTATCTCTAGATAAATGAAACAGTATTTTTATGAGAAAAGCAAGTTATGAATAATATATTTTTACACTTGAAACTGAACAAGAGGCTTTAGACCCATAGGAGGCTTTTATAAATAAGACTTACATATTTTAACCCCAAATTTTTCCCTCTCTCACCCAACAAAATAAAAGCCACCTTAATAAATTGTACATAACAAACATATATCATTTATTCACATAAAATCCTTTTTCCCTTCCTAAGGTTTACAGTTTGTACAAATCCATTTATTTCAAGTGCTCACAATTTAAGTAAACTGTAAACACCTGACAAGTGGCAATTAGGTGAGGAGAACAAAAACTGAGGAATCAAAGATCCAACACAGAAGAAGAAAATGACCCCAAATTACTTGTTATGGTGGTGCCAGGGTAAGAGATATGTATAATAAAGGTAAACTGGTAGAAACTCTGAGAAAGAAATACTTTAAAATACTGCCCTAACAGGAAATACTGCCCTGGCACAAAGCACAAAAGCAGCAAGGCAGGGAAAAAGTTCCTTAAGTTGCATTGTTATTCTTACGAACAAATAACAGATCTATTCCTACACAGTCTATGCTTCACAAATGAAATACAGTGGAGCTTTCTGAGTGAACAGTATCTCAAGCAAGGAACAAACCCAAGCAAGTAACACACTCCTGCGTGCACTTGCACGCGCACTGAGTCAACGTGCAGGAGCTCGGCCGGCCGGTGCACCTGCCATCCTGACCCCGGTCCCCACCTCTTAAACACAAGCAGGATCTTCCTTACTAAACACACAGCTCACTTTTAATTTTAAGTCAGTTCACTTAGCTTTCTCCCTGGCACTTTTTTTTTTTTTTTTAATAAAACAACACAATGTAACAAAGCGACTGCCAAAAATACAATAATTGAAATACTCTAAACAAGAAGTAACACATTATGTTTTGGTTAATTAGTTATTTAAAAAAACATGTTGGCTGTCAAATGGCTGGCAATAGTCTCCTTGCCAGTTGGCATATTTTCCAGTTACCTAAACACGGAAGTCAGCTGGGCAGCAGGTTCTCCTTCTGACCCCATTTGGCAGGCTTTTACCATGTACTGCAAGTTCTCTGTGGCTAGCCTTTTAACTAGGAGGAAAAATTACAGCATTATACACTGTGTCTGAATTGACCATCTGGATCCTTATTTTTATAAACACTCAACTTAGAAAAATATGTTGTTTTCTAAAAGTATGTATATGCTCTCCTGTTATTTCTCGAAGTGAAACAGTTATGAGTTTTTGTTTTCTTCCAATGTGTATCTCCCAATTTCTCTCCCTCTCATTTTAAGAAAATAAAAAAAGCTGAAGAGTCTACTTCTTACAGCCTTCTACCTGAAAAAGTACATGTGAAGGTATGTATGCCCCTCTCTTAAAAAGAGCCCATTTTCAAAAACACCGTACCATCCTAGTCCTGCCGGCATGTCACATCCTCACAAAAGACAGCCGTCAAGAATTCAGCTGATTTACAGACAAGCAGATTAATTTTTTTTTAGTTCATAAGCATAATTCTCCCACTCACTAACAAATATATACATATCAAATTATAATTGACAAGTTACCTCCCTTAAAATTAGTCAGATACATATATATAAAAATCAACCACTTCTGATGCTATCTTCTTTTCAAACAACAGCAAAATAACAAAAACATTCGCATTCTTTAACAACTTAACCAAATCCTTTAAATTTGTGCATTTATACATAATTTTTTTAAAGTAAAAAAAAACCAATGTAGAAAAGTCAACATGTTCCAAATGCTACTAAATTTTTGTGCTGTTTTAGGCCCATTAAATTTAAGTAGACAGGGGGGAAAAGTGCTTTTTTTAAGAAGAAAAAAAATTCAGGAAGTGTAATCCATTTTAGAAGGAGCGGAAAAGGTGATGAACATGAATTTAAATATTTAGTAACAATGTTTTCCATGGCATGAAATAGTGGATAAAGAAGATACAGCTTGTTTGTCTTTATTGAGAAAATAACTTTTTGTATTAGATACAATTCTAGAACCAGTATCACTATTTTTTGTTTTTTTTTTTAAGATTTTATTTTACTTACTTTTAGGCAGAGGGAAGGGGAAGGAGAACAAGAGTGAAAGAAACACCAACGTGCAAGAGAAATATTGATGGGCTGCCTCTTGCACGCCCGCAACTGGGGACCTGGCTGACACCCCAGGCATGTGCCCTGACTTGGAATCATACTTGTGACCTTTTGGTTTGCGGGATGATGCCCAATCCACTAAACCACACAAGTCAGGGCTCACTGGTTCTTTTTAAAAGATATTTTCTTAAAAAATTCCAAAAGGTCTTCCGTGGAAAAAGTACCAGAACATGAAGAAATAGTTTTCACAGTATATTAATAAGCTTTGTTTTTTTTTTTAAGTAACAGCTTTATTTAGGTATAATTCATGTATCATAAACCCTTCTTAAAGTATACAACTGGTTTTTTATTAATTAAAAATTTTTATTTATTTTGTTTATTGATTCTAAAGAGGGAGGGAGAGAGAGAGAGAGAAACATCAATTTGTTGTTCCACTTAGTTATGCATTCACTGGTGGATTAATTCTACGTGTCCTGACTGGAATAGAACCTGCAACCTTAGCATATGGGGATGGCATCCAACTGAGCTACCTAGCCAGGGCAATTAATTGGTCTTTAGCATATTCACAGTTATGAAGCCATCATCACTATTTAATTCAGAACAATTTCATTGCCTCCCCCAAAACCTTACACCCTTTAAGCAGTCATTCCTTTCTCTTTCTCCCCTAGCCTAGGGTAATCACTAATGTACTTTCTGCCCCTATGGATTTGACTCTTTCGGAAATTTTAGATAAGTAGAATCATACAACATGTGGTCTTCTGTGACTCCTTTATTTTTTTATTTTTTTTTTACTTAGCATACTGTTTAAGGCTCATCCACATTGTAAAATGTATGATACATACTTCCTTTCTTTTGATGGCCAAATAATATTCCAGAGTATGGATATACCTCATATTGTTTATCCATTTATCGTTGATAGACATTTAGGTTGTTTCCATTTTAACTATTACAAATAATGCTGCTATGAATATTAATGCATAGGGTTTTATTTAAATATTTTGCCAGCTTTGTTTATTCCTTAATTGAATTGAGCTTTTTTTTAAAAAACACCAGGCAATCTTTTTTTTTAGTTTTACAACGGCTTTATTGACATAAATTTCTCATACTACAGAATTCACCCATTTAAAGTGCACAATCCAATGGTTTTCAGTATATTAACAAAGTTATGCAACCATTACCACAGACAATTTTAGCATATTTTCTTTACCTTGGAAAGAAACCCCAAACCCTTTAGCTCTCATTCTCTATCCTCTGATACCCTCTAAGCAACCAGCAATCTACTTTCTGTCTCTATAGACTTAACTATTCTGGCTATTTTATATAAATGAAATCACATAATGAGGTCTTTTTTAACTGGCTTCTTTCATGTAGAATAACGTTTTTAAGGCTCATTCACATTGTGGCATGTACCAGTACTTCACTTCTTTTTATGGCCAAATAATCCATTGTGTAAATATATTACATTTTAAAAGTCTATCCATCAGATTATGGGTAATCTACCTATAGGCTGTAATGAATAGTACTGCTGTAGACATTAATGTACAAATTTCTGTGTGGACATATATTTTTATTAGTTTTGGGCACATACCTAAAAGTGGCATTACTAGGTCATAAGATAACTCTATGTTTAAGCATTTGACAAACTATCAGACTATTTTCCCAAGTGGCTACACCATTTTACATTCCTAACAGCAGTAAATAAAAGTACTAATTTCTCCACTTTCAAACCTGATTTTTTATCTGACTTTTTCATTATATTCAACCTAGTGAATATAAACTGGTATCTCAGTATTTTTGTATTAATTTTTGTAAAAAAAAGATTTTTGTATTTTTGGTTAGCATTTCCCTGATGAATAATGATGTTGAGCACCTTTTCAGGTGCTTGTTAGGCATTTGTTTATATTCTTTGAAGAAATGTCTATTCAAATCCTTTACCTATTTTTAATTGTTTCTCTTTTAACTACTGAGTTATAACAGTTCTTTCATATTGTAAAAATAGACTCCTTATGTAAGTGATTTGCAAATATTTTCTACCATTCTGTTGGCTGTCTTGTCACTTTCCTGAGAGTGTCCTTTGAAGCACAAAAGTTTTTCATTTTAATTAATTTCAGTTTACCTCTTTTGTGGCTGGTGCTTTTAGTGTCACATCTAAAAATTCATCGCCAAATCCAAGATCATGGAGACTTAGGCGAACATTTTCCCCTAAGAGTTTTATGGTTTTAGCTCTGACATCCAGGTCTGTGACCCATTTTGAGTTAATTTTTGTATATGGTATGAAGTAAAGGTCCAAATGCATTCTTCTGCTTGTGGCTAACCACCTGACCTAGCACAATTTGTTGGTAAGACTATTTTCCCCTTATTAAATCTTCTTGGCACCTTTGTCCCAGACAAAACCAAACCAAAACCAGACATGTGGGTTTATTTCTGGACTCTCAATTCTACTCCATTGATCTATCTTTATGCCAGTCCAACACTGTCATGATTACTGTTCATTTGTACTAAGTTTTGGAATTGCAAAGTATGAGTCTTCCAACTTCTTTTTTCAAAATTGTTTTGGCTCTTCTGGGTCCTCTTCAATTACATACTTCATAGGCTCAGCTTGTCTATTTCTCAAAAAAGTCTGCTGGGATTCTGGTATGAGAGGCACTGAATTTGCAGATCAAATTGGGGAAATAATCTGAACAAACAGAAAAACAACTCTTGCTAGATGCTTTGGAGAAATGAGGTCAGAGGGCAAAGTGATGGCCCCCCCAAAACTGAACATAGAAAACGGTTTGTCAAGTTCAGTTTAACAATTTCCACCAAAATGAGCTCCAGCATCAGGTTTCTGGTTCTGGTAAGCTGTGATTCTCTTTTTTTACCTCTCTCTTCAGTTTTAATTGACTTAATAGCTTTTTGTTCAAAAGAATAATCACAAGTATCTGGTGATCATACCTTATGGATATGTGAAATGAATGACAGCAATGTTAAAAAGGACAGGAGAAAGGGGTTGGGAGTACTATGTTAAGGGGTACTTGCACTACCATGAAGGAATACAGTGTCATTTGAAAGCGGACCTGGGTTAGTTTAAACATACTACAAATGCTGGGGAAACCATTAAGAACAAAAATTTCAAAAGGAGTATATTTGGTGTGCTAAGAGAGAAGAGAAAATGCAATCATTTAAAGTGCTCAATTAAAACCATCAGAGAAGGCACAAAAAGAGTAGAATATTAAAAAGATAAGAGCAGTGAATAGTATATATATGGTAGGTATTAATCCAACTACAACAATAATCACTTTAAATGTGAATGGTCTTAATTAAATGACAGAGACTGACAATAAATAAAAAAAGAAGACCCAACTGTATGTTGTCTGCAACAGTGGCTACTTTAAATATGAAGACATAGATAAATTAAAGGGAAGGAGAAATATAGACAATGCTAACACAATTAAAAACAGAACTGTAGTAGATATGCTAATTTCAGACAAAGCAGAATTCAGAACAAGTGGAATTATCAGGCATGAAGACGTACGTTACATAATGACAAACTGCGAAAAGAAGAGAACTGCTTCAACCTGATGAAGGACATGTACAAAAATCCTACAGCTAACCTCACACTTAATGGTGAAAGATGAGACATTTTCCAAGATTAGGAACAAGACAAGGATGTCCACTCTTGCTACTTCTATCAACATTGTACCAGAAGTTCTAGTCAGGGCAAGAAAAATAAACGAAAGATATGTAGATTAAAAAGGAAAAAGTAAAAATGTCCCTATCCACAGATGATACGATTTATATATAGAAAAGCATAAGGACTCGACTAAAAACCTATTGGAATTAATAAACTAGTTTAGCAAAGTTGCAGGATACAAAATCAAAATACAAAAATCTATTTTTTATGTACTTTCAATGAACAATCTAAAAATAAAATTAAGAAAATGATTCTATTACAATAGCCTCAAAAAGAACAGGAAATAAATTTAACAAAAGAGAAATATAAATTTATAATCTGAAAACTACCAAACATTGTTGAAAGAAATTAAGAGACTCTAATTTCTAAAGAAAAAGATGCCATTTTCATGGATTAAAAGAGTTAATATTGTTAGGGTGATGGTAATCCCCAAACTGATCTACAAATTAAGTGCAACTCCCACCCAAAACCCTGGCAGACTTCTTTGGAGAAACTGACAAGCTGACCCTATTATTCATATGTAATAGCAAAGGACTCAGAATGGCCAAAACAATCTTGGAAAAGAAGAAAGAAGACTCAACTTTCCAATTTCAAAACTTACTACAAATCAGCAGTACTCATGACAGCATGGTACTGGCATAAAGATAGATAAATGGAATAGAATTGAGAGTCCAGAAATAAACCCACATGCCTATGGGTTTTGAGGCTTTTCTCTATTTGTTTTTGACAAAAGTGACAAGATGATTCAATAAGGTAGGAATGGTGACTTCCTAGCTCTTTGCATCTTGAAGTGAAAACCAAAAACAACATCCTCCAACTTTTACTGTTGAACTGTCTCTCCTTTCATGTCTCTGTTTTTGTTTCCCACATTTTGGTGCTCTGTTGTTAGATGCCCATATATTTTGTTATATTTTCCTGATGGATTAACCCTTTTATCATTATAAAGTGTCCCTCTATTTCTAATGAGACTGTCTGGCCTACCGTTTGTTTGAAATTAGTATAGCCATGCCTCTTTTTTGTGGTTAATTTGCATGCTGTATCCTTTTCCACCTTTTACTTTCAATATTTGAATCTGAAGTGTCTCCCACAGATACATAGTTAGAGCTTTAAAAATAAAGTCCACTCCGACAATCTCTGTCTTTTGATTGTTCGATCCTTTCACTATTATTGTTACTACTGATATAATTGGATTTGCATCACTCATTTTGCATTGTTTTTTAAATGTCTTCTGCTTTTTGTTCTTCTATTTTGAAGGCTTCATCTATTAAATCCAATATTTGATGGCTCTCAATGGCAGCTTCTGTTCCCTGCTTTTTTCCCCAGTGTATGGATAATACTTATGTTTCTTTATATGCCTTCTGTTTTTTTTCTTTGTCGAAACTGGACATTATTTAGTGAAGTCCACTTCCGCTTCCTTCTCCCTGCTTCGCAGGGTGAAGCCTCTGAACCTGCTCCCCAGGTGCTGACGTAACCTTAGGAATGCCCGCGGCCCCCTTCGGAAGTCAGGGGCTCTGACACGCTCTCTTTGACGGTCCCTTTCCAAGTAGGCACCAGCTGTTAAGCTCCACTAATTGCTGGCTGATTATGCTATTATTTTTGATAACGCCCTGGGGCATAAATTGCTTTACAGACTGGTCTAATCAAGTTCAGGTTTTTTTAAAAGGATAAAACACTGAGGCTTGTGTTTGAGACTTATTCAGACCCAAGAGCTCTAACTAGCTGTCTCTTTCCCCAATTTTCTCACCAAGCTAGCTGGTCTACAGATTATTTTATAGCTCCAATGAATCTTTTATTCTCCTACCTATTGCCTTTCATCACCACTTTTTTGACAGTACCCTCAGGCTTGAACTTTTTCACACTGTGTTGCAAATGAAGTAGTTCTTGGGGAGAGATTCAGAGTTCCAGGCGAAATCTTAAGAGGCATGGCCTGGTTCTGGGGACAGGGACAATGGTGCCAACTACATTCTGAGTGACACACCCACTTTAGGAGTTCAGTGCCTGTGGAAAGAGGGGCGGCTGCTCTAGGTCCTCTTGGCTTGCTTCTCCTGCCACGGAACCCTCACATATAAGCTGTGGCAAGAATGACTGGCACCCCCACATTCGCAGCGGTGTTGCACCCAACACACTGCAACCATCCCATGAGGGGGGACTGAGCAGAAGAATGGAGCTGCCGCTTAGCCATACTTGCCTGAAACATAACTTTAGCGTCAGGCAGCTCGGAGGGACGATGAGAAATGTTGGTATACTGCCTCCCACAGGATCACTGCCCTCCTATCAGAAGCTGGGGACAGGGGGAGCCCCACATTCTTGGATTTACCACTCTGGAATAGAGTTTCTGTGCTGGGTGAAAAGAAGAAGTGGTCTTGGGTCAAGTACCACAGACTCTTGCTGTTCTTACCAAGTTTTAGTAGATTTTCTTAAATAAATGTTTCTCCATTTGCTATATACTCTTAGGACTATTTTCAGATATTTTAAATGCTTTCTTTTAAATAATTTTCAACAGTTTTGCTGGGGAGCAGGTTGGCAGAGCTCCTTACGTTGTCATGTAAGAAGTGGAACTCGTCCAGCTCTGTGTACAGGTTTTGGAGTGAACGTGTGGTTACAACACTCCAGGGCACATAACCAGCAGTGGGCTTGCTGAGTCTTTTAGTAACGCTTCTTCTGAGTGTACAAATTGTCTTTTTAAACATTGAGACAACAAAGAGAGTCACAACTTTCTCTGAGCCAAGCACACAAATCTACATTTAATATTGTGCCTTCAAGGTTACAAAGACAGTACTGGAGAGGTAGAATTCTGTGTTCCATCTATGTTGAGCATGTGAAGCACTCATTAGGTAGTGTGGACCCAGGAAGAAAAAGCATTTGATATGAACCTCAAGAAGGAATTTATCTGCTAAGATGAACTCCTCAGGGCCAACCGAGGGCCCACATTTTATAAGTAGTAACAGTCTGTTGACAGCTGCTCCTCACACCCTCTCTGTACCAGGAACGGCCTCGGCCTGAACTCTCGGCTTCCTGCACTGTGCCCTGCTTGTTTGTGCCCTCTGAGTCAACCACCTCAGGAATGCCTGGTTTCGTCTTCCTACTAACAGAGAGCCCTATCCTATCCAATCAGAACTATACAATTTGGAAACTTCATTTGTGTAAAATTGGGATCTTGGGTGGGAACTTCATACAAGATGGCCTTCCCTTTGTCTTGGTGGAGCACAATTTAGGTTGCTACCTGAATCTGTGTCTCCCAGACTACAGCTCCTTCAACCCAAATAAATGTTTTTTTTTCCTTTATTACAAGCCTAAAATTAATTTTGGTTTACTCGAGATGTAGGAGGAAAAACTTACCTTTCAAATCCTGGTTTTCTTCTTAATATTACTATCATTGAAATATGAGGCTAACTAAAATTTTATACTGTCTACTCTGTCTCAGGAAATTTTGTATTACATGACTCAACAAGCTTTCACTGACGTTAAAACTGTGCAGCTCTGGCTGGGTGGCTGGGTTGGAGCATTATCCTATACACCAAAAAGTTGCGGGTTCAATTCCTGGACAGGGCACATACCTAGGGTGTGGGTTTGATCCCCAGTTGGGGCTCACATGGTAGACAACCAATTGATGTTTCTCTCACATAGATGTCTCTCTCAAATCAATAAACATACCCTTGGGTGAAAATTTTTTTAAAAAGTATGATAAGTTTTCAACAAGGGCAAAATTTCTAAAGAAAAGTCTGGGCTCCATCTGGGTATTCGTCAGTGAAGGGATGGTACTATGAAGTAAGGGTATTTTAAATTAACATTTTTCACAAAACCAAGCTTGAGAGCAGAAAGAACATTTTAAATTATTAAAGTAAGGATTAAAACAAAGTATGCATAAAATTTTTGAGATAAAACGCAACATTTCAAAGAGGTATTTGAGCTTTTAGCTACCACTTTGGGCACTGCCCTCAGATTCTTGAGGATGCATCCTGTACTCACTTATCACAGCAGTGAGAAGTACTTAGGCAGAAACACTTGAGAAGCCCTGCCCCGAACAATCACCTTATAATGATAAACATACACACACAAGAGCATTCTATTTACATTTTAAAAATTCCTCCAGGATAGAGCTATGGCTACTATTCTGCATATTCCCAGTAAGCTTATTAAAACAGACTACTCACAGTGGGGATTAAATAAATGATGTTTTAAAGAGATCACTGGCAGTAAGGCTGAGGAGACTGAAAACAAAAGGAACAGGATCAAAGGATCCTTACAGGTTTACCCAAGAAATCAGCTCAGATATTCTAGCAGATACCTGAATAGAAGAAATTATGCTGACTTCTCACAACCGAATGTTGAACAAGATGCATTTCACATTGCAATCAGATTGAACAAATATTCTTTAAGAGGGTAACAAGTCTAATCAGAAGAAGTAGCCCTTCAGTAAATTATTTGCCTTAGAAGAAACTCAACTAGCCTTGCCTGGTGTGTCTCAGTGGACTGAACACCAGCCTGATGTTTCTCTCCCCTTCTTTCTCCCTCCCTTCCTCTCTCTCTGAAAATAAAAAAATAAAATCTTAAAAAAAAAAAACTAAACTAGAGTGAAATGTCAGTTTTTGTCCATTGTATCATGCTCACTATCAGTTATTGGCTGGAATTTGTTCTTTAGCCACGATATAGACAAACTGATGTAAAATGAACAAATACTTTTGTAACTATCAATTTAACTGATAGGAAAGAGTACTTTTTAATTTGTGAACAGAAAAGTGTAACATACACAAACTCCAACTCACCTTGTGGTTCACTGACCAACACCAGGCACTTTAAGACACCAGGGAGCAGCAGTTCAACCTCAGAAATGTCTGCGTTAGTTTCTTTGAAGAGCTGAAGCATAAAGGCCAGAATGGATGCTAAGCGTGGAGGATGCATGAACTGTTTACACTCAAAGTATGATTTCCTGAAAAGAAGCACAATTTTGCTTTTTCTTCTGTTCAAAGTTTCAGTAGAAACGCTAATGACATATACTTTATAGATATTGGCAAATCCTACTCCCCAGAAATTAATAAAGCACAATTTCTAAAAAGTATGTATACTTTACCATGCTATTTTCAAACAGAGAATTTTAGAAGCAATGACCACACATCCTTTTGTTGTGCTACCAGGGCTATAGTAGAATACAGACACACACTAAATTTAAAGCAACCTGGTCTTAAAATGAACTTTATCAAAATCCAAATAAAAATGTAGTTGTTAATTTTTTTCCTAATATAATCCTGATCTTCTCTCCCAGCTCCTCAGTGATACAACATTTTCTCCAATGTCAAATTTGTGTAAAGAAGTTTCTCCTCACATTTATTTATTTGTAGGAGGGGTCTGTTTTTCCCCTCCCCAATTCAGTAAGAAAACTCTCTTAGGAATTAAGCTTCCCACTCTAGTTTTAACTCTTTCCTCCCCTTTGGAAGGAAAAGAATCAGAGAGGTAACTTAGGATTTAATATCTTCTCTCAAAGCAGGGCAGATTTTAGCATTAGAAGTCAACTGAGATTGTAAAGATAATTCATCTGACTCATTTTTTAATTTCTACCTTTTAGCATTGTTCTTGGCTCATACCAGGTGTTCAGTGTACATCTGTCAGTGGTCCCCGGTGGCCTGGCTGGGGGGCGGCAAGAGGAGGAGGAGGCAAAAGACTATAGCACCTGGTATTCCCAGGCGGTCTCCCATCCAAGTTCTAACCAGGTCTGACCCTAGAAAGTGTGATTGCTCGATTTCTAAAAGTCTAGGCAATATGAAAAATTGTCGACTGCAGCTAACTTTAAGCTAGACATCCATATTTATTTGCAAAGCAATAATAACTTGCAAAAATGAGGCAGAGAAATCACTAAGAGCTATAAACTCCATAAGGGCAGGAACTATGTCTTCATCACCATTTCTACTCCCTACAGTGACTTCCAACAAATATTACATATTAGAAGATTTATTTATTCTTTGAGGACAGGGGCTTTGTCTTTTTTGTTCACTGCTGATTTCCTAATGCCTAGAACAAATGTTTACTGGGTACCTACAGTGTACCAGGTACAAGTCTAAGAACAAGAATGTGAACTTAAGTAAAATGAGTTTCTGAAAGCATGGAGCTCAGTGTTCAGTAAAAAAGTTAGACAAGGGAAAAAAAAAGACTGTCATGATATAGAGTGACAGGTGCTCTGAATAAAAAGCCCAGAATTCTTAGAAATTCAGAGGAAGGAGCCCTAAGTAAGACTTGTTAACTGCAGGAGTAGAGAAGTATGTAATGGAGGAAGACATAGGAGGCAATCTCTATTTCTTTCCTGAGTATTTAAAACAAAAAGGAATTGTTACATTTTGCAGCCTTAAACTAGAAATCATGAGGAAAAAAACCGTTTTCAATGGCAAATAGGAGAGTCAGCTAAAGGTGCCAGGATTTTCAATGTTGGGCTTTAAAACAGTTTTATGACCTTAAAGATTTAACTTTACTTCAGCACTTGTCATTCGGTTTGTACTAAAATTACTTATTCAATGTCTCAAACACAGTGGTAGAATACTACCATCTTGCTGGGAATTCAGACACAAGTAAGGCAAAAATGTTACAATTCTGTGAAGTGAATCATACAAAGTATATGACTTGAGAAGGAAAGAAGCATCACAGCATACGGAGGTCCTGTGTGTGTACTAAGATGCACTGGGTGTCCATCTTAGAACCTCTAGGTGGAATTTTGTCCAGATGGGTGATCTTTTAATGGAAGAAACTATAAAGCATTTTGGAGGGGCAACAGCTAACCCAGTCTCATTAGGTTTGTACATGATGCCATGGAAAAGTTAAGTGACAGACCACATGTGGAGTTAATTCCATAGGGGAAAAAGAGAAGTCTGGAGGCAGCGGAGTGTCACAATGGAACAGTATTTCAGGAAAAGTGATCTGGGGGAATTACTTAGGCTGGACTGGAAGAAAAGACCAGATAGTGAAAGTAGCAAGGCTACTCTGGCAACAGCCTAGGTATAATGGAACAAGGAAAAAGAGATGTGAAAAGAAGGGAAGGAAACAATCGTTTGCCAGATGATGGCAAAGGGGAGGGAACAAAGCTATTAAGCTTCCAAGCCTGAGTAACAGAACACTAGGAACACAGGAAAATGGTTGGAGGAAGAACAGATTTTAGATATTTAATTCTGTAAAGAGTTGATGAATTAAAGAATTTAATTCAGGTCATTAAAAACAGAAAAAAAAAAAAAACCTGATAAGAATATATAGTACCATAGCATCTTAAAGTTTAAAATTTGATTTCACATGAAGGTAAACACTCTAGGAAGGCCAAGAAAAGATCATTTCTACTACTGATTATTCTAATGTTGCAGCTAAAAGGCATTGAGTTTAGTAGAAAACCTCAGAAGTTTCATTTGTTGGCCTAATAATAAAACTGAGTTATTAAGACAGAGACTAGACTAACAAAATAGTACTTCATATCACTTCCTTTTTCATATTAGCAATATTTTCACTTATCGTTCATAAAATATAATTACTGGTCTCATGTACAGTATAAAAGTTACTGTTTATCTGAAAAATCTAAAAAAAATAAATACACACACACAACTTTAAGACATATATAAGAAAACTAATTGCTGTGTAGAGAAAACAAGCAATTTAAAAAAGCATTGTCTTACAGTAATGAGAGGGAAGGACGGAGGCGGGTAATGGGGAAAAGAAAGGGAAGGGTCAGATCAAGGAACATATGTAAAGGACCCATGGACAAAGCCAAAGTGGGGAAGGATTGAGGGTGGGGGTGGGTGGGGCAGGGGAAATGGTGGCGGGAAAATGGAGACAAATGGGTTTGAACAAAAGAAAAAATTAAAAAAATTAAAAAAAAAAAAGCATTGTCTTAGGCTGCCTTGAGTAAAAATCATTTTAGCAACATCTTAGCCAACATTTTTCAGAAAAACAAAATTTCTAAACTACTGGTATTCTAAGGGAGGCCAATACTTTTGAAATGTTCTGTTTCTTTTTAATAGATTAGTATATTGTAAATACCACTTATTTTTAATATTTAGATGTACCTTATGACTTGTGCAATGCATTTCTTTAGGGATGACATCGGGGCAACATTGCCTGAGTTTCTCAATGCCAACAAAACTGGATGCTGTCCAAGATCTAAAACATGTGGTGAAGCTGGAAGAAACCGCTTGATATACTGCTCAGTAACATTCCCCAGCAATTGATTCAAATAGGCATTTGCATTCTGAGACAGAGAACACACGCTACATATGCCCTACAGAAGGAAAAAAAAAAATGATATTAAAAGGTATAGTTAAAAAAATATTTAGGAATTTACTAATTTAGTTCCCCACATTGATATTCATGTCAGAATTTGTAACTTATCACAATCAACAAGGATACCACCTGCTATCAATAGATAACGTTTCTATGAAGTTCAGGGAGTTGCTGAGCCTAGTAACACCTGTGCTGTGGTGTCTACCCAGACACACTTGTCTTTGGGGCGCACCCATGGGAAGCAGGGGGGTTGTGGAGGAGGGCAAAGGAAGCTGCTTCTCTCATCGTCAGAAAACTTGACCACCAACTCAGCAACTGCATATACATGTAATTACAAAGTATAAAATATATTTTAGGTCAGTTTCTTTTAAATGTAGGGCACTGATCATTTATCTCATTAAGACAAAACTTATGCTAAAAATATTCCACATTAAGAAAGGTGATAATTTTTTTTTAATTAACAAAGGGGGAAAATGCAGAAAACAATGATTCAGAATAATGACAATTTATTTTAAGGTTTTCATTTGTCAGGCACTGTGCCACGTGATTTATATACATTATTTCATTCAAATTAATCAAAAAACCATTCAGTTTGTGTTATCACAGCTCCAATTTTATAGCTGACAAAACTGAGGTTTAGAGGAGTTAGGAACGTGATCAAGTTCACACTGAAATCAGTCATACAGCATGCCTGTTAATTTAATCCCTTCCTTTTGTATAGAAATTAACAATATGCTTTTATATGGAATCCAGTATTTGATACTTTCAAACAATTAAACTGAAACCCCAAGAAAGAAATTTTTTTCTGCCAATATTACCTATTACTAAATATAATCACCAATACTACAACAAATTATGATCTAAAAGTTCATTTATAATTTGGTACTTGTGATTCACAATGTGTTTTCCCAGAGAAAAAATTAGAAGTGATTATGTCTACATTTTATTTTTTTTATTTTAAATTTGTTTATTGATTTGAATGGGAAATATATACATTCAATGATTGTTTTTGTATATTTTATTGATTATGCTATTACAGCTGCCCCATTTTTTCCTCCCCTTTATTTCCCTACACTCTGCACCCCCCTCCCTCCAGCAGTCCCCCCCCCGCTTAGTTCTTGTCCATGGGTCGTACATGTAAGGTCCTTGGCTTCTCCATTTCCTACACTGTTCTTAACCTTCCCTCGTCTATTTTGTACCGACCAATTACGCTTCTTATCCCCGTACTGTCTCCCCCATTCTCCCTCCTCCCCACTAGAAACGTGTATGTCTACATTTTAGCTATAAATATTTACCCAACAAGAAATTTTGAAAGGTTATTTGTAATAAAAATTAGTATAGAGTTGTTATAACACTAGCAATGAAATAAACAATTAAAAAAATAATGGACAGCCCACTACCCCCTTTCTTGAATGCTTTATTTAAGGAAAAGCACATTAAATCAGAAGATGAAGTAATAAATGGATACATTTTGAAAATTCTTAAGAGGAAAGCTAGGTACCTTTAAGAAATTAAAGATATAGCTCCAAGTCAATTCTGACAAATGGATAATTCACCAAATTTTTCAATTAACAGCTTTGGATGTGTATAAGGCTTCTTATTAAATGTACAAATTTGGTTTAAGAGGGGCCCCTGGAACAAGGTCTACGGACTCCCCTGCACCCAGCTTCCCCTCTGGCTTGGCCATGCCTTTTCATCTTGCTAGCAGACACACTCAACCTTGCTTTAAATGCCACTATGAATACAGAATTAAAGAGCCAACTTAAAATGAATTAGAAATTGTAAAAATCTGTTTAAAAAAAGAATCCATCTGTGGAAGAGACTGCTTATTACCTAATCAAAATCCATTCTTCCCTTCCTCCTCAACTTCCCTTGCTGGAGCCCAAATAAGGAGCACTTGTCTTTATTATCAGACACTAATGAATAAAAAAGTACACCTCCTTTCTTCTAAATGACAGATCAATATTTCCAAGTGCCTAATGAACATCATTAGCTAGATTTTCCCCAGCACCTCAAACTAAAGCTGTTTAGAAATTCTCACCTTCATCCCTTTATCTCCAGAATATCCCATTTCAGTTAGAAGCACTGCCATCTACATAAGCAGCCACTCTGGAATCTAAAAAGTATGCTATTTTTTTCTGTTGCTCCACAATACTTGGCAAGTCTTTCTGCCTGGGGCCACTAAATGTTTCTGAAATTTACTGTGACCTCTATACTTACTGCCTTAGTTCAAAACCATCAGATAAGGAACTAGTTACTGCCTTCCAAGTTAGTTACCAGTCTAAGCTCCACACCACCAATGTCGGATGCTGTCACTGGCATCACTTTTCTAAAATGGAAATATATGTCACTCCCACTTCTCCACTCAAAAGCCATCGGTAGTCCCCGTTTAAGAGAGCAAGGGTGAACTTCCTAGCATGGCATGTAAAGCCCCTCCGTATCTGGCTCCTCCTATATGAGTTTCCAGCCACAACCGAATTGCTTTTTCCCCCTGAGTATGTCACATTTCTTATAAAAATCATGCCTTTAATATGCTGTTCCCTCTGACAGGAATAGAACTTCAACTCCTACCCACTCTGCTCTTTGACAAATAGTATCCTGCACAGTGTCCTCCCTCACATCGGCTCACCCCAGTCCGGGTGACAGACAGATGAAGCCTCTAAGTAAATTTTGAGCACATTGTTATAAGTGTCTATGCTAGTCAGCCTCCCCTAACAACTTTACGTTTCTTGAGGGTATAGATTTTGTTTTCCACCTTTGTTTTCAGAGCTAAAGACAAAAAGACCTAAAAATATGGAAGTACCCCATGTGCACACATACATTGTGATTATAATGCATGGTTTTTAAATCTGTAGTCAGTGAGCTGTTCTAAGGCAAAGTTTCAAAAGAAAAAAAAAATTTAAACCTTTAAGTAGCCACACACACTATACCTGGAGATACAAAGGAAGACTCTTCTGAATTGCAGTCAGTCTAGGTGCAGGCAGCTCCGTCTCTTGCTGTAACACTGCATGTGGCAGCAGTAAACAGTCTATGATCTGGAACAGTAACCTTTGGGCTTTAGAGGTGGCGAAGATCTGTGCCCATGACTTAACAAGGAGTCCTAACAGAGAAGAGCAGTAACAGTAGTTATGCTTATCTTCTAAGTAGAAAATTTTGTCATTCCACTAAAAATTTATGATTAAAGCACATAGGAGCAAGTTAAAGTAGGCACTAGGAAGGAACATTTATTATGAATCAAAAAACTTTGTCAAGTGATATATTTCATTAAAGAGACAAATTTCTCTCAGAGTTCTGGGCCGAGAAAAACATACATTTCCTGAGCGGCTGATACTTAAAACATACACATACCCCACATATCATGTGATCTGGTTATACACTATGTGTATACATAAATCGAGCATTGCAATTAATAGGATCTCTCTTTGCTTTGGCTTCTAGGAAACTAAGAGGCAAATACAATCCAATGTTAAGAACACCTTAAGATCATACATTATGCTTTTAGTATATACTCACTTTTCTCTGGGCTTCATCATGCTACTCCACATTTTTTTGATAACCTTATTTCTTTTTATTTTTATCTTATATGTAATTTTATATGCTGTCTCAACCCAGTTTGCAACAAGAGATATAACTAAATTAAGTTGTTAAAATAGGAAAAAAGGATTAGCTATAACACCTTGAAGCAACCATTTAACCTTCTTGAACTTCAGTTTTTATAACTTTCAATTGATAATGTAAACAAATATTGAGCTTAAATTTTAATTCCGAAAGAAGAGAAACAGATTTCTTTACCATATGAAATATATTATGGGCTCTTTAATGATGAGAGTCTGTTAGTTGCTACATTTGAAGATAGTAAAGCTTAACAAATGAGTACCTTTTGTTTAATATAGTAATTAAAAGCAGATTTATAATTCCCATTAGAGTGTATTACTGCTGCTGAGGTCTCCTTTAGCAAAAAAAAACCCCACCAACCCCCCCCCAAAAAAAGCCCCAACAAATTTAAAGGATCATTAAGTGCTTGTCCAAAATAGCAGAGTAGTAAATGTACTGAATAAACTTTTATATTTTATCTTATCTTAGAAAGTGAAAAGAGGTGATAAAATTCAAAAGTCATTTTCATAAAACAAAAAGTTTAAAATTCAAGTTCTGAAGGAACACAAAAATATGCTTATAGTAGAGTATAATGACATTAAAAAAAAAACCCAACCAATAATCACTTCTAAGAACAACAAACAGCAACATAAATCTTCTGTTGTAAAAGGAAATACAATAATCAATCATAAAGAAACACAATGCTCACTTAGCAATATTTTAAATAATGCTGGCTTGCTCCTCATTTTTCCAGTAGGTGGAAAACTTGAGAGTGACAGCAATGGAAGAAGAACTCACATTCTAACGAACATTAATATACCCGGAAGAGGAACTGCCATCCTCACTGACATTTCAAATGATTCATATCACTCTAAGGTGTCGCCCAGGTATTAACTTATGCAGAGCAAGGACCTTCCAACCAAAAATGCATCGTTGACCCTTGTATTTCATCCTCTGCCATGGTTAAAATGCTCTGCTTAAGACCTTAAGTTTTATGAGTTCACTGAAGACAGAGGTGATACATTTGTTTTACTGCTATAACAGACTCCTACTTTTTTTAAGTTTCAGCAAAGTACATTTCAGTGTGTGTGGTGCTAAAAATATAAAGAAAAAAATTTCTGCAGTAAAAAAAAACTTGAGGAAAGTATAAATACATAGCATAGCTTTGTAAAAAAGAACAAGTCATTTTCATGGCTATAAAAATATACTTATTTACTGATGAAGCAGAAAATATAGAAAAGTTTTGGGGAACATGTTCCCACTATTGAAAGAGAGCTACACTCTCAGAGTTCTTATGCATTTTCTTATTTTCTACTGTATGTTATGCCTTAAAAAAAGTGAAATGGGAACATTATAATATATATTTTTAAAATGTATTTACAGTTAGAAAATAACTTCGCTCATGCAGGAACATTAAAAAATACACCGCATACTATTAGCTAGGTTCATAAAATTATTGAATTCCAGAAATATGCCACCTCCTTCATTGGAGAAGCTCTTTAATGGATGTATCCCCAGTTCCCAATCCAGTGCCTGACACCTACAGACTCACACACATGCACAGAGAGAACTGGCCGGGGAGAGAGAGAGAAAATGGTATTTGTTCAAAATGCAACATGATGATGGGAATAAAAAGTTCACACAACATGGCGAACACCATCAGTAAGTCTGAAATTTAGTAGAGGCGTGCTGAGTGCACAAATAATTATAATAAATAGCAAGCTATGAAAAACGTCGTAAGAGAAAGACAGATAAAACACAAGGAAGGAGATCCGGTTCACTTGGGAGTACAGGAGAGGTGGGACACTTGGCAGGGCACTGAAGGGACATGGGTAGAATTTCAGTTACAAAGACAAAAGAGGAAGGATGACTGCAGCTAAAGAAGGATGACCAAGAGGAAAGGCATGAAACAGAAGAGTAAAAAAATAAAAAGAATGAGAAAAATGAAAAAACAAAAAATGATATAAAGAGGAGGAAAGTGGAAGAAATCACTGATGGATCAATCCTGCTTTCTCAGGCGCCTTAACCTGTAGTATGATTTCATCAAACGTTTGCACCTCGTAAGGGAAGAGCAGTGGATTCCCCGTGAGGAACTTTTTTTTCAGGTGGGTACGATATCCCAACTCTGCACACTTAAAGCAGGTTTGAACTCTCAAGTTTATATTTGCTCTTCCTCCATTTTGTTCTATATACTTTTTGTGTAAAAGACAGTAAGTCATCTGTTCCTAATGTCTAATAAATTAAATGAGTGACACTGTAGCAATATACTCTATTCCCAGTCTCTGAGATCTAGACAAAGGGAACAAATACAGATCTACTTGCCAATAAATAAAAAATAATCATGTAATAAAACAAACAAGGCCCTCAGTTCTTCATAAGGAGACTTTTTCCATGGGTCTACACATCTATCACTGATCCAAAAATGATTCTGTAGTTATTGATAAGACTATCATATATCCTGTAAAATAAAGACATACCCTGAAATCATACATTGAGCTTGGCAGACTTATAAATTATAAGCCTAAATACTTAAATACTTATTTATCTACATCTTTCTGTGTTAAATTTATGATAAATTTTCACATATTTCCTCTGAAATTAAGAAGACTGAATTGGTAACTATAGCTTTCACTATATTCTAAGTCATCCATATTTACACATTTTCAAATTCTCCTTTATCTTTTACAACAAAGATAAAAGGTTTCAGACAGCCCAAGTCAGTTTATTCATATGTTTATAAGATCAAAGGGAACAGATATAAGATTTTGGCCATAAAGAAATTTTTAAGAAAACTTAAATTCTGCCTAAAACTTCTAAGGAAACCCTTCTCATTTCCCTTTATCCAGTTCCTATTTTTGGTTAGCAACATGATTTTAGTGAACAAAGGTATTCAAATTAGTGAATTCCTGAAGATGAACTCTATTGTTACAGAATAGGTGCAGAAAAAGATTTCCTTTTGAAAGGAGAAAACAGTGTTGTGAGAAACAAGATTTGAAGCATAAATATCTTTAGTGCTATAATAAATTCTTTTCTGAAGTCCTTCATATAGAGCAAAGTATAAAAATAAAAGGGAGCGATGGTTTTCTGATATTTCAAATTCTAACAAAGCATAGATAAGCATTAAAAGGAATGACCACTTTAATTATCCAGGTATTCACAATGTGAGTGATTCACAACAGACTACGGATACCAGATTGATGTTGGCATATTTTCTGTATTGATCATAATTAATTTTTCTATTAACACAAGCATAACGAGAAAAGTTCTGAAGGGCGGTAGGGCAAGACAGAGGTACACTTCAAAGCTAACATGAATTATTTTTAAGCTAAATCACTGTCTTTCAGATTATTCTTATGACTGTATGCAGAATAATGCTTTAGCTAGTATATTAGTATATTCCTATCTATCATGATACTGTAGACTCAACCTCACAAAGTTTTAATAATGTCAGAAATACATACCCATCATCCTATACGTCAGTTGTAGACCTGCACTGGAAACATTTTTTCCCAAATAAGGTTTTATATATTTTAATATTTCACCAAGGTATTCTAAGGACTTTGCAATCATGGCAGATTTATCAGAAAGTTTCTGCAGATTCCCGTAAGTTATACCAACAGCCTATAAATAAGGAAAAACATGATTTAGGTTTCCAAGTTTTATACAATACAGACTTTGAAAATAAAGATAATTTCTTTTTCTACGCACACACTGTATATTTCTGCCTTCATCCTTAACTTCCCAATAGTCACAGCAATTAAAATGCAACAAAAGAAGAATTGCCTTCCTTTTTTATAATTAAAATAAAGGTTAAAATAAGAATTATAAAAACATATTCAAAGTCATGAAAGGTAAGGACCTACATATACAATATTACTCTTTCCAGCAAAGCTATCATTTAGAATGCAAGTGCAGATAAAGTGCTTCCCAGATAAGGTGGAGTTAAAGGAGTTCATGATCACCAAGCAATTATTATATGAAATGTAAAAGGGACTTAGAAAAAAGAAGATCAAAACTATGAATAGTAAAATGACAACAAACTTACAAGTATCAACAACTGAACCTAAAAAACAAAACAAAAGCAAACTAAGCAAACAACTAGAACAAGAACGGAATCACAGATATGAAGACCACATGGAGGGTTATCAGCGGGGACGAGGAGCGGGGAAAGGTACCCAGAATAGGAAGTGTAATTGGTAGGTACAAAACAGAGAGGAGGAGGTTAAGAATAGTATAGGAAATGGAGAAACCAAAGAATTTATATGTACAACCCATGGACATGAACAAAGCCGGGGGGTACTGGTGGGAGGCGGGGTGCAGAGCAGAGGGGAATAAAGGGGAGAAAAAAATGGGACAACTGTAATAACATAATAAAATATACTTAAAAACAATTCATCAATAATTATTCATGCAAGGTCTGACTCAATAAAATGTTAGTAAAAAGAAGTAAATGAAGCTTAAAACCAAACCACATGGAGACTTCTGAAAATCCTAGTATAGAACTGGGAATTCAAAAGCCCCAAATTCCTACAAGTAAGACTTCTACAAAGTTCAGTTTTGAGGTATGAATTGATTTTTTCCCCCGGAATTTTCCTTATGAGCCATTAGATGCCAGTTTAGCTTTCTCAGAAGAAAAAAAAGATGAGGCACAAAAAGTAGAGATAGAAAAATAGGAGGTGGTGGAGAGAAATGTAGATGAGGCAGTAAGGAGAACAGTGAAGTGGGAAGAAGAGGAAAGGAAATAAATGAGAGAATAAGTTGAGGAAGGGTGAAAACAATTAAGAGGTGAGAAGCCACAAAAAGAATCAAGACTGGCTAGAGATGGGTTAGAAGATTTGAGAATAGTACTAAAGGTTTCAAGCCATTATTGGGGACTTACAGTGGGTTTCAATGACCCAAACTGGATACAATGGCACCAAAATATACAGCCACATGATTTTTCTACTGCAGCTCTCAGCAGATAAGACAAAGGAGGGAAAGCAAGTGGTTGCATCAAACCAAGGTTGAGGGTTTGCAGGTATGACCGAAAGACCAAGGATGGAAGCCTGTGAGGCTGTTGGTAGGGCAGATGAAGTGAGACCCAAGGGAATAATGCAGGTGGATATGGAATGAAGGGACACCCTGAGGGGATGTTGCGCTTGGAGAAGAGGGGGTGGAAGGTCATGATGAGGTTACTCAGAGCTGGAGGGACGGGTGGTAACAGACAAAGAGATCTCAGGTGCTGCCTTAACCTACTCTATTGTTTTTAATTTTCCGTTTAATCAAATCAGACCTACTTAAAAATTTATAGGGTCTTCACATCGTTCACAGGATAAAATTCAAACTTCTTATACCAAGATTCTCTGAGTTCTTAATCTCCTGACTAATCTATCAACTAACTGGCACTTTTTATTATTTTAACCTTTGTATATATTCTGTACTCTCAGACAAGTAAAAGTTCTTTTAGATCAAGGACTATTTCTTTTGGTTTTTCAAATCCTTAAGAAATTCTAGCATAACACTACCTAGCATTTAGCACACAGCTATTATTTATTAGTTGATGAAAGAACAATATGGGCTGGATTAAATTAGAAGAGCTTTTCAAAATGATCAGTGGAATGCCTGGCTTCTACCTCCCTCCCTTTCTAGTCCAGGACAGTTCCTAAGATAGGTGTTCAATTAATTACAGGTTGAGGTCCAATCAACTAAATAAAAGACTCAACAGAAATGTGTATTTTATATCTGTATGTGTATTACTAAATATTTTTAGGACTGATATCACATCTGTAATTCCTGTACAACTGTACTTTAACTTAATGAAAACCAGTGGAAGATTTCACATCTATGGAAAGAGCTTGTGGGTTGTAACTATTTTCACTGCAGTTAATACCAACAGCTCTGTGGGAAAATAAACTAACTTTTATTGTGAATAGCTTAGAAAAACACAAATCCAAACACATTAATGACCTCAACTAGGCTGTAAAGACTATAAAATAGTTCCTACACTATAAATAATATTTTATCACATAAGTTTGTACAATATTAATAATTGAAAATAAAATGCTGAATGGGATTGTTACAGTAGAATGAGTGGCCAGAGGGGAAATGAAGGCAGGGCCCTCCCCACTGCAATCTAACAAAGAACTTAATACAGGAGGCCAAAAGCAAATGAAGACAAGTCTCACCCATTGACCCAATAGCCATGAGCCTGGATTGATAAGGCTGCTGGGCATTCCGCACAACACAAGTAAACTGTGACAGCGCGGGGCAGGGCGGGGGTGGGGTAGAGCCATTGAGAGCCTGTGTGTATCATCTCCACTAGCAGGGAAAGGGAAAACTTTGAGACTGTGTATTCATCCCAAGGCCTGGAAGGGAGAAGGGGAGAGGGACTAGAGTGCCCAAAGGAAAATCCATAAAAACACTTTGGTTCATTGCCTGCCCTTTGTCATGTATACAAAATGAACAAATAGAGTCTGGAACAAGATAAGGATTCTGGCTCACAGACCCCCCCACCCACACTTACTTTTAGGTAGTCACGTCTCCCTGGGAAAGCTGGCACCACTGTGACCACCTTTATGCGTCAATCAATATGCAACTTCTTCACCCCCACCCCACCAACTACGTCAGTTCTCAAAACAAAGGACTCACTCTCTTGGCTCTTTGCCCTCTTGCCACACAGGGACCCCTGGCTAACCAGCCTCTAACCAGCGGGCCCTTGGCCAGGGGGCTGTTGGCCACTTCTTTTGGCCACCTGGCTTCTACCCACCTAGCCTCTGGCCACCTGGGTGCTGGCTACTGGGCCTCTGGCCACCTTTGCTCTTGCTTCCTTATTAGAACTTAGCATTAATAAATGTTGCTTGCATGCTAGCAGGCTTGCTGACCTGTAATTCTTTACTGTGTCAACAAGAAGAACCGAGCTTCTGGGAGTTTCTCCTGTGACAGGACTATTTGTTATGGAGACAAAAAAAAAAAAAAAAAAAAAAAAAAAAAAAAAAGGATTGCATTTTAAAGCCCCAATCATACTATCATATGAAGTAGTGGACATTTCTGCTTAAGAGATTAAATTTTTACTGTAAAACTCATACTGTTTATGACAGGATACTAAACATTAAATTGGAAGTATTATGGACCACATATAAGAAAATGTAGTTCCTGACCACCTGAAGAGTATTGTTATGCAGCAATTTCAACAAGCTATTCCTCCAATTTAGGTCAGTTTTAGCATAAGGCTTTTATGTAGCATTTGTTACTCTTATTTTTCATTAAAAGTAATTCTTCTGTCTTTAGGAGTTAGTAGTACTATACCTTAGACTCACATTCTTACTCCTCCAGAATTCCATAATATCAGGCACCCAAAAATATGATACAAAATAACTCCTTTTATAGAAAAACATTATGGACACTTCAAGTTTTTAAATAATATGACTGTGACTGATCTGTACAATTATACTAATAAATGAAAAATACCTCAAGAAATTGAACAAGTGCTTTCTCAGGGTCTTCTGGGATGGGTAAAAAGTCAACTTGAGCCTTTGAGAAAATATTCTTTATTTCTGGGAGTTTAAACAGCAACCTGGTCAGTTCAGTCAACTGTTCCATGTACTCTTTTTCTGTTAAAATAAAATAACAATATTTACTTAATGTTCATTATATAGATTTATGTTTTTTATATATGTACTTATATATATGAATGAGAAAGCAGGAAATGTAGTGTTCTTCATTTATGACATGCTTTCCTTTAAAATTCAAATTTCCAATCCTGGCTGGTGTGGCTCAGTGGATTGAGTGCTAGCCTGTGAACCCCTTGGTTCGCCAGTTCGATTCTAAGACAGGGCACATGCCTGGGTTGTGGGCCAGGTACCCAGCAGGGGGTGTGCGAGAGGCAATCACACATTGATGTTCTCTTTTCTTTCTCCCTCCCTTCCTCTCTCTCTAAAAATAAATAAAATCTTAAAAAAAATTTCAAATTTCCACATAATTATAAACTTTGAATTAAGTTTCTCTCACTAAAGAAAGATTTTATTTAAAAACAAGCTAGTACTTACTTGAACAACACTGCCCCAGAAGTTATTCCTGTAAAGCTAACTGATGCACTAATATATCAAAGTAAATCTGGAGCATTTTTTCAGCCCAGCCTTTGTGCAATTTTTAAATGACCATAAAGAGTTGCTTTCGGAAAAGGCATGCCCTACAGGCAACCAGAACTGTATGGGAATATTTAAAAAAGTACAAGTATCACTAGGTGACTAATAGTAAAGCAAAAGAAAGGCAAAATATCTAATAAAAAGGGAGAGAATTATTCATAATTGGGTATTTTTCTTTTAGGGTTTTCACAGTGTGATATCTGGTTATTTACTTCACATTTCCACTTTTTTTGTGATCAGTTTCTTCAAGGTAAAAAGATGGTTGTCATTTGAGAGCAAGTTTTGTTTTGTTTTTTCCTTTTCTGGCTTCCAAGGAATCAAGTTCTTTTATCTTTATATGAGAGAAATTTATCATATATAGTAACAGGAAAATATCAAGAAAAAGAAATAGGCTACAAAAGGAAATAAATTTCTGTTTATATTTATACCTAATTACAAATATATTTTGTCTTTTCTCTTAATTTATGTAACAAAAAGGAATAATTTAAACATATTTAGCTGTCTAAGAAACAAAACACCTGCAATACTTACCAACTGCCTGTTCAGGATTTATATCAACTAATAAATCATCAGGTAAACTGAAGTTTTTTATATACATTTGCAAAATGCAACGGATCCATGATCTTATAGTTAAGGCTTGAAAAGATACACAGCCTGAAGAAGAAAGTGCATCACATAACATGCTGTAAAAATAAATTGACAGATATTAAAAACAAAATAAAACCCAACAAGTTCCCTGAGTACAGATATTACGAAATGAAGAAAAACATTCTAACATTCCCCTCTTGTTGGTCTCATTTATTTTATGGACAAACATAACTAATGCAGACAACATGCAATGCTGAAAATGAACACTACAAATACACACAATAAGGATATTTTAGATAAATACAGGGTGGAGCAAAGTAGGTTTGCAGCTGTTCATATGGAAAATAACACAATAATTAATAAATAACAACAAACTCTATTTTGCATGCTCACAACTGTAAAACCTACTTTTGCCCCAACTTGTACTCTTGTTTTCATTTGCAGTGTTCTAATTTTTAATTTTCTTTTTCCTGCTGATGGCATATGTGTAGGGTTTATGTCAAGAGGAATAGGTAAGAAAGAATATGGTTAAAAGGGGGAAAGAAAGGAAGGGGCTTTAGCTACTAGGTGAGATAGTAGTGAAGGAGATGCAAGTAGATTTAAAAAAGCAGTGGCCTTTAGAGTAAATACACAAAGGAGCAGTCATGTCCACAGAGGTTAAGAAAAGAGGTAAAAACAGGATGTACTTCTGTGCGGGCCTCCTGATCAATCGCATTCCTGCCCCTTCCTCCCCGCTCCCCCACCACACAGGCAGCCATTATTAAAGAATTCCAAAATAAGATCTTACAGAAATTTTAAATATATATATTATTTCTACAAAGCCCAAGGCCTGGCTAATTAGGTTTCTAATCATTTTACAAGTGGGCATAGAAAGAAGGAGGATGGGCATAAGCTAACTATAAAGTATTATGTGAAGTTAGAAATTTTAAAAATACCTCTCAATCATAATTCTAGAAACACTGCTTTAGAATACTTTGAATACAAGTTGTCATAAAAATATACAATAAGAAGAACTTAGGTTGGTCATTTGTTATCTATTTATAATACCCTCTCCAAACTATCTGACATCTACCTTTGCATTTCAGTTTTTACAGCTTTTACCAATATGCTAATTTTATTTTAAAACTAAAATAATTCCAGATAATTTCAGCAGAAGTATTTAATAAATAAATGTTTGTTGTTACTGCAGAATTCTCAAGATACAAGGACCCTAAAAGGAATCCCACTGAAGCTGAACTCCCTTGCTTTACAGCTGAAAGGCAACGCGAAGTGGCTTCGGGCCTCTGTTCCATGGACTTCCCCATGAGAACACCTCACTGCTGCATTACTCTTCATTTTCCCTGACTGGCCACGTGGACAAGCACAACGTTGGTTTCTTAGGTGGGTATAATTATTCTTTTCCCTCACCTTAATATTCTTACTCAAGTCTTCCTGATTATACTATTTGCATTTTTACTTTATTTATTGTACATTTTTTCCCCCTTGGTGGTTCCTTAGATCTCTTATGTAATGTGGCAGGAGATTCTTATAGATCAGAAAGCCAACATTCAGGGTGGTGAAGTGTCTGGTTAATGATCGCCTAAGCTGAGAGTTAAATATTTGAAAATCTAGCTGTCAAAAGGAAAGTTACCATTAAATGTAAAACTTCGATAGCATACCAGTGCCTTAGAGATTCAGCAATATTAGTGTATAATTTCTTTCACAATGGTGAGTGTAGAAAGGTCATTTCAGAATGGGAATAAGGCAGTCCTACAAAAAAGTTTTGAAAAAAGCAACATAAAAAAAGCAACTTTTTTTAAAAAGCAGGCCATGAAATGTAAGTTGATTTTCCTACTACTATTGTCAAAATGCGATGTAAAAGCAAGAAACTGCCAAAATGAGAGCATATGTAGAAAAGATCAGTTTTAATTTGTAAAAATTTTTACTTTCCTACTATACTGATCTATCATGGGTTTACAATCATGTGCGTACCTGAAATAAAATCACTTACCTATTTTGGAGAAAATGATTTAAATATCTTGCTACAACTTGGGGACAGGTGATACCATCCCAACCAAAAAGCTGTATCATTGTTTCTACTGGCCGAGGCTGAAGATCTGATGGAGCTGTGCTGGGCATTTCCACTGCTAGCAAAGTAAAATCTAGATATAAAATGAGAAAGACTTAAGGTGAAAAATTGTTAAAAAACTTTTTCCCCTCCCAAGAGTATATCAATAGTGATTGAAAAATCAGCCCTACGTAATAAAATGTCCCATTTAGAAACACAGAAAACCTAAAGCCGAACGAAATTCTTGTTGTCAAAGAAATACCTGTGGTAACCATCTAGATCTCCAAGGACGTGTCCAGGGTGGTTTCCCCTGCATTATTGTCAGGCATCTCTAATGGCTCCCTCACATTGCAAATTCTAGAACTGATGTGTCTAATTCCTGGGACTTCCCCAACTTAACTTGTATTATGTTAACTTACGTTTGTCAATAAATTCCTTATGAAGCACTGCCTCCATGCGGCTCTCCCACGTAATGGCGACTGACTCTCCCACAGCTCTCATACAACTTACCCTCCAGACAGGGTGAGTTTACTCCTTGGTTCACACTGCTGCTTCTAGACCATTCTCCCTTCCTCCAAAAACCTCTGGCTTTGGTCCTCATGTCATCAGATCGTACAATCCACTCACTTTCCTTGTTGCATTCACCTACTGCTCCCTAGTTCATCTACCCGCATTCCTCAGAGATTGTAGCTCACTCCCATATTCTCTAATAGCACTCGTTATAACCCTTGATGAGTTTTCTCCGATTATTCTGGCCTTTCAGCTTCTTGAAATCCTGTCCTCTAATTAGTCTATCTTCCACTCTACTTCAGCTATTCACCGATGGTGATACCAAGAGACCTTGGCACTAACAGGAAGTACACTCCATAATTTCAACTTTTAGGACCCCACTTTCTGGCACCAAACTAGCTTTCCAATTCTCCTCCTGTCGGTCCCCAACTCCAGCAATTCTTTGATTCCACCAGGACCTACAATTCACTGATCCTACAAACTTCTTCCTGCCCCTCACTGCCTTTGTACTTTCCTTTCCCTTTTTAGGATACTTCATTGCATGGTCTACTCATTTGTGTATAACATCAACTCCCTTGCTTTTCCCTTGCAAATTTGATTTGTTGTACTTGCCTGGGGAAAAAAAAAAAAACAACAAACACCATCCATTTAATTCCAATTCTTGGTTTTCTCCCTAAATGTATCCACACCAGTACAAATGGCTGGTGGGCAACCATGTTGACTAATCTCACTTTAAATTTATGACTACAAATTTTAAGCGGCCCTTAGAGCTGGCTCCCATTTCTACATTTCTCCAGTCCATTCAGTTTTTTGTTCTCCTAGAGGACAATTGCAAACAGTCTCTCTTCTCTCTTCATCAGCCAGCACCTCCCCCAGCCTCACTTCTAGCAAATACCCTTAGTTACTACCGCAGAGAAAAATGAGCAACATTAGAAGAGAACCACAAGCTCCCACCACATCTACCCAGGCGCCTCCACTGAGGCCCATTTACTCTGCCTTCTCTTCTGTTATTACAGATGATCTGAGGCCAAGTTCTCCATGGGATTCCCTTTCTCCTCGGCACTGAAAAACAAGTGGTGCTCTTGCATCATCAATTTTTCCTCACTCCAGAATGTTCCTGTCAGCATTATAAATATGCTGAAATTTCTCCCATGTTATTAAAAAATCTCTTTGACCCTACTTCCCCCTCAAGCCATTATCCCCATTTTTCTACTTGTAAACAGTGCTACTCAAAGAGATTTATCTACATATGCAGTCTGCAATCACTCTTTTCACATTTTTTCTCAAATCTTCTTCAATCAGGCCTTTGCCTCTACCACTATACCAAAACCACTCTTCAAGGTCACCAGTGACCTCCCTCTTGTTAAATCTAATGGCTGATTCTCAGGCCTCATCTTAATTGACCCATTAACAGCATCTGAGCTGTTGCTCACTTCTTCTTCCTTGAAATGCTGTCATGTGATTTCCAAGGCCCTACACGTCCTTGGTGTTCTCTTACCTCATCAGCATTGCTTTTGCAGTTTCCTTTCTTGGTTACTCGTTACTGTACAAATCTGAACATGGACTATCCTAAGGCCTTGTCCTCAGTATTCTCTTTTCACCAATATTCACTCCATTGGTGATCTCATCGAGGTCACAGTTTTAAAGACAATTTATATACATCAATAGTTTTCAATAACGTCCAATATCAAAATCCTAGTCTTCCCTCATAAAATCTGCTCCTGCCACAATCTTCCTCATCTCAGCAAACAGGAAGTTCTCTTTTTACCTATTTTGCTTACCATATCATACCCACTTTGAAAAATCTGCCAGATCTACCTTTAAAACACTTTACCTTCGCATTGGAAATCTGACCACTTCTCCCCACCCCTACTGCTACCACTCCAGCCCAAGCTGCTCATTTCTGTGTTGTTGCAACAGTTCCCTAACTGGCCTCCCTGCTTATCGCCTGGCCTTCCTATAGTCGATTCTCAGTCAAGCAGCCAGGGGGATCCTATCACTCATCTGCTCAAAACTTTCCAACAGCTTCCAATCTCAGAGTAAAAGTGGGAGTCTTTACAACTGCGCACAAGGCAGAACACAAAGTTGTTCTCCACTTACCTCTTGATCACATCTCTGACTATTCTCTTTCTTATATTACACAAGCTTTTATGGCTTCCCTGCAGTCCCTCCGTCACACCAGACATGCTCGTGCCTCTGGACTTCTGCAGAGCATGCAACTCTATCCTCCATTAGGTTCACTCCAGTGGTGCTTACTCAGGCCTTCCTAACCACTCTTTAAAATTACATCGCGCCTCTGGCCTTCCCTATCCTTATCCTCTCCTATATTTTTACTTTTCTCCTCAGCACATATTACCATATAACAAATTACACATTGCTTATTTATTTATTTTTCTCTGCCCCCTACTAGACTATAAGCTCCATGAGAACATTTGCTTATACCTGAGGAAAAAAAAATTAGTCCTTTTTTTCCTCCTGGCCATAAAAGTGGGTATTCGTTGACTATTTCTTTAATGCAGGAAAACTTTCTCTCCTAACCCATCTTCATTTTAAAACATATTCCAAACCCGCACACATCTTGGTTGATATTTGCATACCACTTAGTTTCAGTACCTAGGACAGCACTACTAATCATGTGATAGCATTTTTGTTCACCGGGGTGATGATGAATGGAAGAAAGTCATACCAGCTACTAATGACTGTTGTGATTATACTGATTGAATATCAATATTTGTTTTCATAGACATTACAGTAGTTGAAAACTGGTGCCCTGTCACAATTTTTCAATCTATCCTTATTTATGTTTTAATTATGTAAGTGCTACCAGAATTCAGGATCTTTGTATCTTTCAGTCTTTTATATGGTGCATTTAGTTCAGCTTTCCTCATCCACACAAGGGGGAAGTACACCTCGGTTTTGGTCTTAGGTTTTTTAAAGCATTACAATTAAATACATTGAATATCTTCATATAAATTGCACTTAAAGACTTGCAGCCGCCATATTGATCTCTGTCTATTCTAGCACTTGTTAATATATCTTGGGCAAAATATCCCTAAAAAAAAAAATAAGAAACTCTTCTTAGAAAACTGTATATATGTACATATATTCAAATACTTGCTTACAGTATCAAGTGATTCAGAGTCACTTAATGCCTAAGGGCAAGTCATTAGGCTAATAATCACACCAAGTAAAAATTACAGCCTGAAATAGAATCTAGGAGAATTCAGAATAGTAACATTCTATATATTCGATGTCACTCTGATTTCAAGTTGAAGGAAATTGGTGTTGAAGTGAAATTCCTGCTATATTCTTTTGCTCTTTATACAAGTAACTTCATCTGATACCGAGATATCTATACATATAATCTGAAAAGAAGCAAGCTGGACTAGAAGAAATCAAATGTTTCTTTACTATTCAAATATTGCATGCGTAAGAAAAGTTTATGTACATTTAATATTTTTAAGATAGAAAATTATCTTTTATTTTTAGCAAATAATCATTTAACTTTTACCTTTAGTAAGAGAAAAATAATGAACAGGCTAAAGGATCTTAATTTAAAAATATGTAATTCTGTTCATTTTTCTAGTCAAAATATTTATTATATTGTTTTAAAATAAGAGTTTATTACCAAACAAACAGAAGAAAAAACTGACAAAGCTTGAAAAATGCGAAACTAATTAGCAAATTACAAAGCTGACCTGCAGCGGCATCTGCAAGTTGTGAGAAGGGCACTGCTGGTGACATTCTCTGACTCTTCAAAAATGAAAAGAAATGTTTCCATAGTGCACTGGCAACTGCAGCAAGGTGGCGCTCTTTAGCCGATAATGAAGACTGAACAACTAGGTCCACATTTTCCTTTTGAAGTTCCTGAGACAATTGTTGATGCATATTCCTAAAAAGAAATAAAAATATAGCTAACACCCAACAAATGCTTACAGAATTCGTCTTTAAATACATTTTTGGCTTTTAACATTTATACCATATGAAAACTAAAGGACCGTTTTATATAATTAAAACCTTTATGCTAAGACATTATGCATTCCTGATTATTTGATGGATGAATGATGGCATATTAAGCACCATAAAGTTAATGTTAATTACTAATGTCAACCATTAATTACGTGCTTTTTAATATGTCAGATCTAAATGAGAAACAGGCAGCTTCAGAATGAAGGTCTGCATTTTGCAACTCACTATGACAAGTGACTTTACTTACAACCTAGACATGGAAACAGTGCTTTAAGCCATTTCCTCCTAAGAGCTTTAGGACACTGATGTACCAAAAGGAAAGTAAGTATATCTGGCTACTGTGTAGTATTTTGAATTAAAATATTTTCCCTGTTTAGAAAAGACATAGGCCTTGTACCAGTATACAAAACTGTGACAGAAACAATCTTAGCACCTTGGTCCAAAAAAGATCCACAGTCATTTCCACATAGCACACAATAAAAAACAAAAAGTTATTCTCCATAGAGTAAAGCATAAATTCATTACTGTCTCAAACCCTGATTCACCGTTTGCTCACTTTTTTTTTGCTTATTTCAACTGAAAATGTAGACATTTCTAGACCTTAATAGGAATAGAAGAGAAGTAAATACTAAGAGATTTCATAGTAATCTGGCAGAGAAGGCATTTATGCAATATACCTAGTGGTTAATAATAATATGATTATTTAAAAGTAAACATATGCCATGATATTACTCCTGTTTCTGTTTATAATGCTGCCATATCAACTGAGAATATATACAGAAGCATGGATACCATCCTTAGATTTTCTTTCTATAATTAAAGAGAAAGCAGTGAAAAATGACTGATGAAGCTATGGAAGAAGACTTCCTGATAGTAGTAGTATCCTATTCCATTTGAGAAAAGAAAGAAATATGACATTAATTCTAACATTCCTGATGTTTTAAATCAGTTTATCTAGGGGATGTGGACACGTGAAATAACTACGCAAAACACAGAATTAACTAGTACATGTACCTAAAGCAATTCCATAAAAAAATCAAACTGGTTGAAAGACCACATCTTAGTACTTTTCTCATTAACTACACATAAGTAAATATTATAAGTATCAATTATATAACATTTGGATTTTGTGAGTCTTCTCACTGGAATTCTTGAATATTTAATATTATTTCAAGCACTAAAAAAAAGTGTACAGATTCCTGGGGAAAATATCATAGCAAGCAATTCTCATAAAAGCTAACCAAATGTCTGCTATGTTCACTCTGTGTTCTCTCTGTGTAAAAACCTTCCTGAGATGCTTTTTACTTGAACTAGTGGCTAGAGAACCATTTCGGGTCCTTTAGCTTAGAGTAAGATGAATATAAAACCACTAAAATCCATTCTGCAACTAACTCAACTGTCTACATCAACATAGCAAAGTTCATGAGGACATTTCAACACACCAGAATCCAGGTAAAATAATACCACCATTTGCACATCTCATTTATAGCTGTTTCAAAGTGTTGTTTTCAAAGGATAATAAATAACGTATTGTACTTGGACAAGATGGATTTTGCCAACTATTTCTAAATAGGTAAGCTTTTCTTTAGTAACTAAATCCTAATCCCTAGGAAGGGCTATCATTTCTGATCATCCTCTATGTGCTAGACATTCTTTTAAGTAAAAATCAGAGCAGTTTTATGAGATAGATATCATTAATCCTTTTTAGAGATGATGAAGCTGATAGCAAGAAGATAAAATAATATACCTAAAGGTCATATGGCTAAAAAGAGCTGGCCCTGAAATCTGAACATAAGGCTGACTCTGAGTCCTATACTTCTCCCTTACATAATAAGACACACACTCTTATGCACTATCAAATTCCTGTGAACGTGAACACACACACACACACACACACACACACACACACACACACACACACTTTAAACACTGATAAATTTTCTTCTTTTTCTACTTGAGTTGAAGAAGTTTCACCAAGCCCAAGGAAAGAAGCTGGAAAAGCCATATGTAGCTTTGCCTTGAGAAGAGCCAAGAGCAACACCAGAATTCTGTGTCAGAAAAAACTATAAGGAGAGAGAACAAGAAAAATGCATTCGAGGCAATATTTAAAATGGCTAAAAAAGCTGAACCATTTTTGACCTCTCCAGACCAAAATTTTTAAGTACCAGGGATCTGATTTAAAGCTCTGAAATAAAGCAAACCCCTAGGTAAAAAGTTAATGCTAGCAATTATGCTCTCCAAGGTAAGAGTTAACACAGGAAAAACAAGTTCCAATTAAGTATAAGACATTGACCCAAAATCAGATTTGTTTTGGAAATGTGCAATCCACTTAGTATTTTGGTTTGAAAAGAAGCTATATATCCTGGGAATATGCAAAAGACATTCTGCTCAATAGTGTGTATGTTCAAAGCACTATCAGTCTGAATAAGAATAATAATCTGCTACTGTAAAACAAAACAGACTTGTTTTAAGACCTTATAATTTTTGTAAACATAAAGGTATTGGAGAGGCAAATGCAGGGAATGCCAAGGATTTACTGTAATGTGAGTCTGAGGGAAGAATCAAATTCCTGCACTATAGCCAAAATAGTTAGAAATACCCCATGCAGTTACAGGTAATTTTTTAAATTACATTTCCTGCGTCAGAAAACTAACTACACAAAGACTACAGAAGAATAAATTTATTTTATTAGATGTCACTGCATACGTACTGAAGGTACACTGACAAAAATGAAAATAGTGAAAGCAGTTCTGTCACTAGCAGTAACATTATAGAAGAAAACACAAAACATATATAAATATATAAAGGATCTAATATAGTTCTAGATATCAGGGCTATTTTACAAACCATTTTCTACATTCTTCTACAAAGAGTAGAAAAATATAGAAGTAAAACTTAATATATACATATAAAAACACAAAAGGTAAAAATGCGACTTCAGATAAACACCAAAAAGACTAGATGGAGAGCAGATGACAGCTAGTACTAGGGGGTTAGGGGGTAGAGGGATCAAGCGAAAAAGTAAAAGGACTCATGGGCATGGACTACGCAGTGTGGTGATGTTGAAGGGAGGAAAGTATAAGGGAATTAAGCGGTAATAGAAAAAAATATACAATAAAGATTAGATCAACCCCCCAAAATAATACCAACAAAAAGAAGTATCATAATTAATGGAGTGAATGTTTTGAGTAAAGACAAACTTGGCAAATGTTTTGAGTAAAGACAAACTTAATGTAGATTAAAACCACTTTGGAAATACACACATACGGAAATATACATGCATAACTAGTCCACTTACATTCTAAAAGATACAATATACTATCGTAGAAAATAAAATTTTCTAAATGTCATTATTCAAATTGCAGTTCACATACTAGAAACAACAGCAACATCCAGCATTTCTTGGTATTTACCATGTGCCAAGCACCACGCTAAGTATTTTATAAGCATTATTTCTCTCCCTATGAAGTATGTACAATTATTATTCAAATCTTGTAAATGAGGAAATTGAGGCAAAAGAAGTAAAATGCTAGGTAACACAGTTATATAGTTATTAGCAAAGCTACTCAGAGCTGTGTGACCTTAAAAAAAATAAATAAAAGGAACCTGCCAGTTTTTGTAGTTTTTGTCTGAAAAAGTCAAGAAGAAGAATTCATTTGCTATATCCACCATAGGTGTATTGTAAAGACTATATGAAATTACATCCTTCAAAGTGTTTAGAAACCAATGATTACACTAGGTAACACCGAAGCCTGTACATACGTAACGATCTAGGTCCTCATATGCTTCCGTTTCAGCTCTGGTATCGTGCCCTCTTTTGCTTTGCTCATTAAGTGCAAGTGCATTCCTGATTCCTCCATCTGACTGCTGTTCTGCCCCTCTTTCCAACATTTGTTTTACTGTTTCTATCTTCCCACTACTTCTAGTTGTTGATTTCACACATTTCACTTACTTGTCCCATCCTCTACCTCTCTACCCCTACACAGACCCACAGGTACATGGAGACATCCATCACATGAGAGGCACTAAAACCTCTGCCTGACAGCTGCAACCCGCCAGCCTGTCTCTGAGGTATGTTTCTGCCTACTAACTTGGGCAGCCTCTGGAAACACCTACTAGACTACCATTTCTAGGTTTCATGTCTTTTTTTCTTTTTTCATCCTCACCTGAGGACATTTTTTCATTGCTTTAGAGAGAGAAGTGGGGGGTGGGGCAGAGAGAAAGAGAGAGAGAGAGACATCAATGTGAGAAACATGAACTGGATGCCTGCCATACACTCCCCAGCGGGGATTGGACCCACAACCTTGGTACGTGCCCTGACAGGAAACGAACCCGCAACTGTTCGGTGTCCAAGACAGCGCTCCAACTATCTGAGCCACCTGGCCAGGGCTTACTTCTAATTTTTTTATGCTCCTGTTTCTCCTATAACTGATAATGATGGAACAAGTTATGACATCATATACATTACTTTCCTGGTAGTCATATTTGTCTATGTAATAACACTTCTATACATTATAGCTCAAAAATTTAAAGAGTAGTTGTTTATTGACGGACTGTGGACCACATAGAAAAAGCATAACATAGTAAATGTGACTGATAAAAGCTAAGAGAATTAAGGAAATGACAATAACTGAATTCCTTCCTTAGTGCCACTTTAAACCTGGCAACTTTCTTCAATTGATATTAGTGAAAAACATAATGGGAAGATCTAAGTTAGAAAGTTGTTCTAAACCACTATGAGTAATTATTTCAAGTATCTGATTGATCTAACTAATATAAAATTGAATGGGAATCCAGATATTCTACAACCATTTTTAGTTTCAGCTAAACTCACTAAAAAACCCTTAGGTACTTTGAATCCCATTGTGAATCTTGTCCACATTTGTAAAACGGGGCTGTAATCTGCTTTGCTGCCCACAAAGA